CTTACATGTGAACGTTTTGTTGAAGAACCGTAACAGATATCGGTGAAATTTCAAAGCGTGAAGCATGTCAAGGAACTTGAACATCTGAAGTGTACTTTTTGTGTACTTTCGGGTTAATAATGTGGCCTTTTTGGCAGATTAACTAAAGGTGTGCGGCTGCTGTGGTGGGGAAAGATGAGGCTGAATTTACAATGGGCCTTAAAAAATGAAAGTTTTTGTCACTTCATGCTCTCAAGAGGCATTTTGTTTAATTATTTTGCTTAATTTTTTTTTATTTTTCAAGCTACGAGATGTTTTCCTACGTTTCTCATGAAAAAGTATGTCTCAGGAATGTAGGGTTTGGGAATTATGGCAGGTTTAAAAGAAAATATGAAGGCAAAATGTAATCTGTCCTCCACTCTAGCTGTGACATCACGCACTCTAAAATCTGAAGAAGGCCTCTTTACCAAGGTCTGAACAATGTTTAATATCTCTAAAAGTACGAATCAGATTTAAAAGTGTTACACTAATAATGTCAGAAAGATGTGTAACATTTTAAAGCTGGAATGAGGTTTCTGAGTGAAAGTATGAAGGAGCAGTTAGCAGTTGAAGTTGCATGAAGATTGTTCAAGTCTGAAGAGTTTCTCCATTGACTTCCATGTTAAAAATGTGATGAATTATGGGATGTATCTCTGGAATTATGAAAGTTATGAATAAGAAAAGTAATAGCCATCGATTCCCGACCGAGCTGAGCGTTTTGATGTTTGAACGGAGTTTCTGCGATGTGGAATGTGGGAGAAGAAGAGGTGCAAAATAACCCAGCGGAATAATAAAGAATTTTGTGCGTAGCATAACAGATAGTTGAATGCTGTATCAGCATTCCCACTAAATGAGCTTAAACTTTAAAGTATTACAATTGTGTGTGTGTGCCTGTTTAATTGAATGGCAATGGTGCAGATGAACCTGTTGGTTTTCAGTCTGACAGGAGAGGTGCAGACATTCTGCTGTCCTGATATCAATCAGAAGTTTGTTTCACCATTTTGGAGGCAGGATAGGTAACAGGTGTGTTTTTGTAGAGGTTTACCTGCCTAACGAGCCTATTGGCCGATGCAGAGCAAAGTGCAGGTGCTGGAGTGTATGGTTTAACCAAATAACAGATGAAGGATCCATTTACAGCAAAAACTATTTGTATCATAAACACAGGCCCACTCACAATCAGTAATTTGAGGACTCAAAGGTTAGGAAGATTCTGCTAATGGCGAGTGCTAATGCCAACTCAAGACACAACTATTAACTGCACAGGTAGACTATTTCATAATGTCTCTTCTGTGCCATTTAAATCGCAATATGCATCAAATCTGATTGCAATGCGTCTACAGATATCAACTTTAAATAAATAATCAATGCTTAGATCTATTTAGAAATACTGTAGGTTAGTATCTGCAGTACAGAACACAAATGCAAGCTGTCTTCCTCCTCATTCTCACTGATTGATAGTCATTACACAGAACAACAGTCCCATTCAAATAACCCCCGCAAACCTTTACAATTATGAAGCAGGGCATATTAATTTAAAGTGGAGTTACATGGACCTCGGAGGACTCTATCTCTTCATTGCTATTGCTTAATGGATCTCTGAGTATTAGTTTGACACCCCTTGAGTAATTAAACAAATTATTTCATGATGTTATGCAGTTGTATTTATAGCTTTCAGACTAATAGCCCAGAGACATTCAGCTCTATTGTGTAGGGTGTTTGTACATACCATCTGTCCATTAATGTTTGTGTTTGTTATTATTATTGGGAGCCATTTTACATAAAGCTAGAATATAACGTTGGTGCATGGAGTTGGACAGAGCCAGGCTATTTCTTCGGTGAGAGAGGAACAGGTTGATGCATAAAAGAAGGTGAATAAAATAGCCGACTCAGATTGAGTTCCTACGTTTTCCAAAATGCCATCAAACAACCTGTGACAGTGGGAACAGCTCAGAGCTTGTTCCATGAGACAGCAATAGCAGTGATAGCCAGTACTAGACAGGTTCTTCACTTGAGCAGCAAGAGTACAAGTTGTACAAGTACACTGCCCTGAATTCTGGTCTAGCTTCAGTGAGAGAATTGGAAACTCTTCGTCTTCTATGATTTTATTGTATTGAATTATTGGATGAAAAGCCTTGTATAGGTTAGACATATTCACCTTGACATCACCCCTTGGTTTGTAGAATACTGTTTGGAACCTTGGTTTTGAATTTATAACCATTAGCATCTTGGAACCTTTTATTTTAATAAATGATTTCCACACAAATAAGACAAAATAAGTGTTTAGTTTTACATCTCTGCATGAATACCATTTTCCTTTTTAATTATGCAGTAAAGACGTAACATATATCTCTCAGTTCTTTATTTTCTAAACAACAGCAAGAACTCAGAATGAAATCTTTATAAAATATAAATGGTCCAACAAAATAACCACAAACCTCATCAACCTCAAGTGCACATCTAAACAGTTGCCATATACAAACATTTGTTAACCTTTTACCTCCATAATATATATATATATTATTTGCCCCTTTTGTTTGTTTGTTTGTTTTTTTGTTCACCATGTAAAGCGGCCTTGGGTCCCTTGAAAGGCGCTATACAAATGTAATCTATTATTATTATTATTATTATTATTATTATAATATATATTATCTAATATTTCTCATTCACTTTTTGTTTCTTCTCTTCCTGCTGTAACTAGTGTCACTCATCAATGACTATTAGACCAGAATCTGGTCTTATTAACAGGAATTGACACTAGACACTTTAGGAAATAGTTTTGTATATTAATAAACATAGCGTTATTTCAATAATGATCAGCTAATAAACACAAATACTTATATATATATTTAGCAGAGGTGGGAGTAAGTCCTACATGTGCAAGTCATGAGCAAGTCTCAAGTCTTGACCTACAAGTATCAAGCAAGTCCCAAGTCACTGTGGTGAGAGTCAAGCAAGTCAAGTCAAGTCATTGCTCAGGTCAAGCAAGTCAAGTCAAGTCATACAAAATTCTGATGAATAAGCCCAGTTTCCGCATTTAAATCAGTTAAAAGACAGTGGTTATGAAAATGGATTCAACCCACACTATGATCTTCATTACATACACAGTTAATCATTTGAAATCTAATTTAGACCGATGACAATCATATTAGATTCATATTAACCCCAGAACTGCAGACAATATAGCTAGGACTCAGTCAAAAAGTCTGTTCAAAAAGGCAGAATTCCAGGTAAGAAAATCGTATATGGCATTTGCCATTACACATATTTAATTTAAATGTCTGTTAACACTAGAACCGCCAACAGCATCAGCACCTACATAGATATCATTTTCAAATCATTTAATTGTTTCCTCTTCATAATTTCCTTATAAACTAAGTAGGACGATTTAAAACTCACTTAATTGGGTTAATTTTGAAATTGCTTCAGTTTATCATCATAACAGATCAAAAAGTTCAGATTCATTTTTACAATAAATCAAGGAATGATGCACTTCTACAAACAAAAACAACATAATTAAAAGATTTAAACAAACTACTAAAAGTAGATGAACTACATTATTCAACAGTTTACAGTAACTTCTGATAACACAGGGGAAATAAACGAGGCATCTCTTTTCCTCTCTCTCTCTCTCCCTCTCCTGACAGCCCGTCAGTATCGGGGTTAGTACAAATGAATCCCTTGGAGGTTCTAGTGTTAATTTACCGTTTTGTCTTCTCTTTGCAATGCTTAATCGATTTGAAACCAAGTCTAACGTAGCTTAAACTTAACGTTAGCTTTCTAGCTAACACAACACATTCACGCACCTTTCTCTGTGGGGTTTTTTGTAGTGATAAATAAAGTTGGATGTTGTGGTGGTCGTGTCACTGATCTTTATGCTGCAGACCCTGCATACCGCTGTTCTCTTCTTATTAGCGTCATCGACAACATAATCCTTGAATCCAAACTTGACTATTTGTGGAGTAACGCTAGCCGCTGCCATGTTAACTGACACTCCTGCCTTCTAGTGGGTTGCCAGGTTTGCGCGCACGGCGCTATAATCACCCAATCACGTTTCGAAAAAACTAAATGTAATATCTCAATACAAAAACAAACGCAAATATTTAATTTTAAAAAGTCAAGTCCTTTCAAGTCATCTGTCTCAAGCTTAAGTCAAGTCTCAAGTCATGAATACCAAGTCAAAGTCAAGTCAAGTCTTTTATCAATGTTAGTCAAGCAAGTCTCAAGTCCAAAAATATGCGACTCGAGTCCGACTCGAGTCAAGTCATGTGACTCGAGTCCCCACCTCTGATATTTAGTTATACATTCAAGTATGTATGTGTGTAGCCCTGAAAACTGTACATGCTCAAAAGATGACTGATTGGGCTTTTAAAGTTAATTTAGTGATATAAGGCACTTGGATCGGGAATTTTAAGGTCCTTCCAGGAAATTGCTAACAATAAAACTGAAAGATTGGCATCATTTGGCAGTAAAAGGCGACCAAAATTAAATGAAGAATTGGGTCAATTTTACAGCAGTACAGCTTATTGAATGGACTTTTAAAATATAGCATCTATCAAGAGACATACGCACACACACACACCCTCCCTTACTGAAGTAAACGCAGTTCTCTGAGGTAGGAAACAGCTCTGCCCATGTTCTCTGTGGCAGAGACTGGCATCAGGCCTGTTGCTTAGTAACCGGTTCTGTGGATGCTGGCACTGTTGTCCTTTTGCCTTAGAAATGGTGGAAGATTCTAAGACCACTATTGTTACTCTGTCAAGTGAGACACACACACACTCCCCCACACATGTCTTTCTCTTTTTCATGCGAATAAACAGCAGCAGTGGAAGTACACAAAGTAAATGAGCCACACACTGAGTTTTGCTGTGCTGCACACTGAAAAACTTTGATGGAACTTTTTTTGCTCTTGCCACAGTACTATCCTAGCTAAATTGGGCCACTGGGAGCTAACTCGTGTATGCATGTGTGTGTTTTTCCTAAAGCTCCACAAACGAATCTACCAGATGCCGGTGACGGTCCCAGCCACAGGTGTCAACAGCTTCAACTACTCCTTCTCCTACCTCTGTCTCCCAGACGACAAGAACGTGTGCATCATTGATGACATCATCCGTGCTATGGAAGAGATCCAATCAGCTCGCATCTCTAACAGCACCATCCCAATACTGCGGTACCCGATCACGCAGCTTGCAGACGGAAGGCAGGCATACATTGGCCACCAGCTGGGTGGAGTGCAGGGCTGGGGTCCCAATGGGGGGGTGCGTGGTCAGGGGACTGGAGCCAAGGGAGAAGGTGTACGTTCTGCAAGGGCGTTGCAGCTCACCTACTACCTCCAAGCCCGTGGCGGCCTAATGGACCGGGTGGCCAGCCAATGGGAAAATGCCTTCTGTGCCGAGTTACAGCATTTTGCAGCGTTACACCCTAAACTGGGGCTGCACCCTTCTACTTCCTCTTCTCTGAGGACAGACTTCCAGTTCTCCTCGGTGCTGGCACACCGCCCCCTGTTGGCTAGCTTGGGGGCGTGTGGTGTGCTTGCCATGCTCTGCTGCACTATGAGGGACTGTGTGAGGTCCAAACCCTGGTTGGGACTGCTTGCTCTGTTGTCAATCACTCTATCAGGCCTCACTGCTGCTGGGATACTCAACCTGACCGGGACGACCTACAACTCTACGTACCTAGGCATCCCTTTCGTCATGCTTGGTAGGTTTAAAACTAACACTTTTTTTACGGTTAAATAACACATGTAGGTGACTTTTCAAGTTATTATTATTCTGTTTGTCCATGTTTCCATCCTCCATTTGTCTGTAAATAATCTTTCTGTTCAGATTGTTTCCGATATACACAAAAAAAACTTTAAAACAATGGAGGGAAGATGGGAGCCATGATGAACACTGCCTCTGCTTTAATATATCAGACTTTTGTCTGCTTCTGCAGTTCCTCTTATGGGATCTGCAGATGCCAGCCTCGGGCTGAATGCCATTTTGAAGGAGACAGATTGTCAAAATGACTGACAAGTGGCAGGGCATGAACTAGACTTGGCAGTAACAATGCATTTTCAGACTGGGTTTACAAACATAATCAAAAGGGTCTGAAAGGTTCTGAAAAAGTATGTTAGGGTTCTGGAAGTCTGTAACAAGTACAGTGCTGGAACCAGTAAAACATTTTCATGAATAATTCCCATATTAGTTATAGATTATTTGAATAAAAGGGCATTTTTAATAGGTCGGTATGCTTAGAGTGTCTGAAAACCCCTTAACCAGCAATCTGCAGCAATATGCCGATTTCCAGTTTTGGATGTCACATCTTATGAACCATAAACTGTATAGCAGTATTGCAGACTTGATGTGAGGAGGTAAATACATGAGACATGTCGCAGAATGCTTGACCGAGGTAGGGATGCACAAATCAAACTTTATATATACCGCTACAAATTCAGATAAGTGTCAGATTCTCTGCCAATAACAAATCCGTTAACAGTGTCCTCTTTATTTGTATTTGTTTTATGTAAGTTACTGTAAAATTAGGCCAGTGATCTCTGTGGCACTAAAACAGCAGCCAAGTGTGACTCAATAAATATAAATTATAGCAGAAACACTGAATTTTATAAATCAATGACATATTTAATTTGGATCTATCAACTCATCACTATTAGTGTGTCCAATACAGTGAATGCAGCAAGCAGACTTTGTACTGAAAATGAATCATTCATAAAAATATTGCGGACTAGACATTATGACAGTGACCATGTCACAGCGCATCCAGTTATTGCAAATCCCGATTTTCATTTCATTATAGGACATACAATACTTCAATGAGAAGGTTGATTTTATACGTAAGTGTTACTAAAACCACCTGATGTACTTACACTTGTGAAAGCAACAATATTGTCGCAATATCGATATCGAGATAGTCGATCAAAAGAGATCACCCATGCTAAATTTGGCCAGAGTCCATATACCCCCCATTTCCATTGCCCTTGCTCAGACCACGCCCATTTTAAAATTCTGCCTTAATTTGATCTCAAAACATTCTGTGTGATAGTTAAGCTTCAATGTGTGTCTCAAGGACCACATTTTGACATGGTGACAGAAACAGACTAACACCAACAACACCAGCTGTCCATCTGGTAACAAGTAAAGTTACTGATTTACTTTTGACGGTGATAAAATGAACGAAAGGGATATAATGCAAATGCAGCAAATATATATATTACATTTTTTCATTTAATTTGAGTGCTTTTTTGCCCTATTAGATATTGCTGTCCAAGATAAAAAAGGAAATGATGAAAGAGAAAGGAGATGACTTGCAATTAAGGGTAAGCTTCCAGGGCGCCCAAATTAAGAATTCAACAAACTAGGAGCAGGACCCCCTGCTGAACACACTGCATTCCATCTGGTGAAGGCATACTTGCACTCCATCTTGAGTGCATGCATTCTAAATATTGTAGGATGTGCTGTACGTAACCACTACCACACACATGTAGTCCATACCATAATTACTCTGTAATGTGGAGGAGGAAAGGCTGCTGTTAGGCTTAAAATAACCAAAGCGAGCACAGAAGAGACAGGGGAATAGACACAAAGAGGAGGCTCCATGAAATATCACTCCAACTGGGGCTTCAGATAAGGATTCTCTTAGCTGGAAATGAAGTTAAACTGTGGTTAGAAGGAAGTCAGGAGGATTATTCCGAATCATGTAGGCAGTAGACAGAAAAAGGTGGGAGGAAGTGTGAGGAGAGAAAGAAGGATGTGATTACACAGTAGAGAAAGAGGGGAGAAATACTGTGTACAACATTTTGCATTTTTCTCTTTCAGAGACCAAGTAATGTTTTCACACAGGAGCTAATTTGCTTGCAAAGCTTGCACAAAAACAAACTGATGTGTTGATTTATCTCATGTGTTTGTGTACAAAGGGGGGTGAATTGATTATGTAGATTATTAAATATATATAGTTATATAAATATAAATGATATAATACATTTACGGTACATTTATTTTACCATGGTTCATTTTCAAGTTTTTGTTTGGTAGTGATCTGCAAAATGTGTCAGACGTTTCAAGTCAATATAGTGATAGTACAATCGTCCAATATCAACATGGACAAAAGATCATTTGTTATCAAGTCATTTTTTATGATATTCTTCTCATTTTTTAGTGTGTACTTTGTTTATCAAGTTCCTTTATTGGCTTTAAAGGTACCTATTATGCATTTGAGAAGTTCAGCCTATTTTATTTTTTAAAGTAGGCTGAACTTCTCAAATGCATAATTTTATTTTATAAGCAGGTTATTTATCAGAAAAAAATGTTTATATTTTGCAGTGAGGTACTGAAAAAAACAAATACAAACTATACCCAGGCTATTGTTATGTCTGGAAGACTGCATGTGTGAAATGCTTAATCCATTTTATGACTCAACAGTAATATCCAGGGTCTGAAAGGGTTCTGGCAAAAAGACACACCCTGATTGTATTTCCTCATGTATTAGTACCATAATGTGTGTCTGTTGGCCTGTCTCAAGCTCTGTTAAATGTCAGAATCCTTGGGCAAGTGCCGTCCCCAGACTCTCGTTTTGCACATCTGTTCTCTCTGCAACATTAACCTGCTCACCTCTTCCACTGTCATTCACTGTTTAATTCCCTCTCCTTCTAACACACACACATACAAAACACACACACATTCACAGATCAGCATAGTTTCTCAGATGCACCCACGCCTGAAGTGTCGGTACGTTACGCCTCTGCTAAGGTGTTAAGTGTTTCGCCATGGTAAGGTCACTGAAGAGAGAAAGGGGGGGGGGGGCTGTCAATGATGACGAATGGATGTCATGGCAACCACAGTAGAGAAAACCATAAAAAAACATCTGCTGCATGTATATAAACATGTACGTGAATGCCAATGAGACTGGACATGCAAATGGAGTTGGTGCACATATTAAACATATGTAATCTTATACGATATAACTCTATTTAAAGCCATACATCTATTAATTAAAGAAATTCTGTTGTTTGTTGTGCTGCTAGATTATTACTAATAACTTGAACTACTCTCAGAATATTAAAAACGTTGTTCAATTTGTTTTATCCCCTTTATTAGTAGGAAGTGATATTCACGTGTCCTGCAGCAGTAACTAGTATTGTTTAATCCAAAGAAAATTGAACTTCCATCATTGTGTCTTACAACTGTCGTTTCACATTTCTATTTCAAACTGAATTGATGTGTGAAATAATGCAGAGGGGACCATTTAAAAGCAGGCAGCTTTTTCCCTTCCTTGTGCAACCTGCAACATGCTTCCTTAAGGAATGAATTTAAGAAAAGTGGGGGGCAATCACAGCATTCTGGGGAAAGGAAAAGTGTTGATTTGAGATGAGCTTTTCTTATGTTTGGAGACTTATCCACCAGTAAAATCATGGGCTGCAAAACCAAAATAATACCATCTTAAATCTGTGAATTTCAACTGTTTGGTTCCCCTCAGGTCATGGCCTCTTCGGCTCTTTCGAGATGCTGTCGTCATGGAGGCGAACTCGGGAGGACCAGCATGTGAAGGAGCGGGTGGCGAGTGTGTTTGAGGACGTCATGCTGCGTTTCTCCGGCTCCACCATGCTCCACCTGATGACCCTGGGTCTGGCTGCCTCGCCGCTGACCAACATGGAGGCCGTCCGGCTATTTTGCCGCACCGCCATGTTGGCTGTCACCATCAGCTACATTTACATGCTGTCCTTCTACAGTTCCTGTCTGGTGTTCACTGGGTACTTAGAGACCGGGTACAGACATGGCTGCTTCTGCCGGCGAGTCCCCAAACCGGAGCGCCTGGACTCTAAGCCGGCCTGGTACAGGTGTCTTATGTACACTCGCTACCAGGATGAGGCCCAGACCACCAACCCACCAATCGGGGTCGGCAACAGTCACTCTCACACACCAAACTCTAACCTAACTCACACACACACACACCCACATACAGCAAACAACCCTGCCACGCATGGGCTCGGTCATGTGGCTAACTCCACACTCACACATCCACACACACATTCCACAGCTCACATGGACCCTAATCCTCAGGACTCTCACCTTTTGCTGGGATGTGTGAGGCGTTGCTATGGAGACTGGATCACTAACACCTATGTCAAACCCTTTGTGGTTCTGCTGTATCTGGTGTACATCTCCTTTGGATTGATGGGCTTCCTGCAGGTGAGGCAACACTTTATTTTTACAGTTTTATACTACTAGATTGCAAAGCACATCTTCCACTTCATTTAGACAGAGCAGTGTTTCTCATTGCACTGCTCAATATTATTTACTACCAACATTGGTACAGTGCCATTCAGAATATAAATTGTCTGTCTATACATTTAAACTGACCTGAACACCAATTCACTTAAGTAAATGTATGTAACGTACACACTTACTCACCACTTGACTGATCATGATGTGTAGCTCCCAGAGTTAAAAAAGTATTGGTACATATATATCATAGTGTCACTACAATGTATTGATATTTACCATAGCTTAATATATTTATCGTTTGAAATGACACTGACTTACATCATACAGCTAACTGTTTATTCTGATGGTCTTTAAAGGTGCAATGCATTTAAAAACATTTAACAAATTAAATAGTTTAATCTCTTAGAGTTTCAGTAGTTTAGTTTTGCATATTCTGACCTACTGACTACACTGACAGGCATTACACATGAGTAATAAAACACCTAGTAAATACATCATCACAAGAAGAGAGAGATATAGTTAAAGCACAATACACAATATATATATAAATGTATACAAATATATAATTAATATACTCTACATGATTAATGAATTAAGATTGTATGCACTAAGTTTTGGAGTTTTTATATGCTGTTTATTTTGAACATGCGGCTTGGAACTACTTATTGCACTTGAAAGATGTTCTTTTCAGACACACTTGTATACAAGTATAAAACCATGACGCACTGTTCAATCTGTAAATAATGTTTTTTTTGTTATCGACAGGTGACCCAGGGTTCAGACCCCAGTGCACTGGTTGCCATGGATACAGCAACAGTATTGTACACCCGTGCCCAGCAGCGTTACTTCAGCTCATACTCCCCTGTCATTGGATTTTACATCTATGAAAGCGCCCCCTACTGGAATGCCTCAGTTCAACGGGACCTGCTGGAATATGCCAAAGGCTTCCAGCGAATCAGCTGGCTAGAAGCATACCTGAACTACCTGACAGATAACAACCAGTCCACCAGCCAGCCGCGGGAAAACTTCACCCACACGCTCCGTCACTCTTTTCTCCGCGAGCCTCAGTTTGCCCACTTTGCTGATGACATCATATTTGCGGAGCGTGGTCAAGGCGAGGAGCCAGATGTGGCGGCGTCCCGAATCTTCCTGGTGGCCAAGACAACGGAGAACAAGCGGGAGGAGATGTCAGTGCTGCTGGACACGCTGCGGCGCTTGTCGCTGAGCTCGCGCGTCCGCTTCCTAATCTTTAACCCCTCTTTCGTCTACCTGGACCGCTACGCTGCAGCGGTCAGCTCCCCCCTCAGACACTCACTGCTGGCGGTGCTCTTCCTGTTGGGTCTCTCCTCTCTGGCTGTAGTGGAGCCTCTGGTCTCTGTGTGGCTGGGCCTCACCCTGCTCTCGGTTCAGTTCGGGGTGCTGGGCTTCATGACCTTATGGGGTGTGGAGCTGGACTGCATGTCTGTGTTGTGTCTGATCTCAGCCTTGGGACATTCTGCGGACTGCAGCGGCCCCCTCCTCTGCGGTTTCGCCTCAGGTCGAGGGGACAGCAGGACTCGCTGGGTGAGGGTGGCCCTGGAGAGACACGGGGTGCCCTCTCTACAGACGCTTATCTGCTACAGCGCCGCCCTGGTGCCTGTTGGGGCAGTACGCTCCAACCTCACACACACACTCTTCCGCTGCCTCACCCTAACGGCCGGCTGCTCGGCCCTTCACACGCTCGCATTCCTGCCGACCCTCCTCACTTTCCTGCCTCCCTCCAAGACCCCGGGAAACCGACCTGAAGAAGACGGCCAGAGACAGGAGGTGGAGTGCGTGGAAATGAACGACAGCACTCGTGTGGTTGACCAGATCACCACTGTATGAGCATGGGATGAGGGGCTCTCGGTTGCCCTGGTGACTGCCGGCTGGGAATTGGTTCAATGTAATCTGAGCAGCCGCTATTCGTGCTGAAGAGAAGAATGCCAATACGTGTAAAACAAGGAGGAAAAAGAGAGTGTCACTAAGAAAAAAAATAGAGGTGGAGGGTCTAGAGGGAACAGTAAAGGAGAGTCTAGTGGCGAGTGAAGAAAAGAGAAATATGAGGGTCAAATGCAGTGTATCCATGGTTACCTGCTTGTTTCTAGTGCTGCGTGGCATGTTAATGAGCTCTTTTCCAAACAGCCAATCAGATGTTGAGGATCAGCTGAGGTCAGGTCTGGCTGTGACGTTATCCCAGAGGAGCAGCCACAATTTTCACGTGTCCAAAAGTTGCTTTAGATCTGATCACACTGTTTGGCTACTGCTATCTGTGTTCACCATATCAGTTACATACAGCTACAATGATATGAGGCAATCATCTGTATGACTCGAGTATTTCTACTTTAATGCTGGACAAATAAAGTCAAATCAAGAAAACAAGTGGTTTTGACTTTGATGCATGATAAAGTTTTAATATAGTTTATATGGCTTTAAAACCTTGGTCCACAAACCAATAGACGTCACAGTTGTATACATATAGTGATGCTTTGACTTTTCTGAATGTTCTATCTTTAAGGTAAGTGCTTAGGCAAGGTTACATCAGATACAAAACTTAAGGGTACAACCACTTTGAAACACAGCATGACATTGGTGGTTATGGATCAAGTTTTTTTTGTGCAATGGGCAAACAAAATATTGAATTTCTTTTCATTAATTTGAAAATGTCAAACAGTTCATCATAAGCCACAATTATTGCTGTAACAAGTCAACTCATTTTCTAAATCTGTCAAGGCTTGAAAGCGAAGCAGTTAGGACCCACAGTTACTTTGAAGGAAAAGTCCTTTATTGTCTGTTTGTGAATTAACAGAGCTGGGCAAAACAAGGCCAAAAAAACTCTCTCAACATCCAACATCAAGAATCTGACAACAACTGAAAGAAAACCAAAACTTAAATACACGCAAGACACAGATGGGGAGGGAAGAGAAACACAGGGGCACCACGTGAACACTATCAGGTTATCAAACAGGACGGAAACACAGAGACAGCAGACATAACACGGGTTAACACTTTTCAAAATAAAACAGGAAAACAAAGACAGATCTTGACATCAAAAAATAAAACAAGGAAAACTCATACAGATCGTGAAAAAGTCTGATCAAAAATGGTTTGCTCTCCTGTGTTTAATGACATGCCTTGATAATTTAAGTTCCTGTTTTTAACATGGGGGAAAAACAACTTTTTTTACCAGGTGAAACTGTTTTAACAATGTTTTTGCTGCAATTGTTGTTCCGGCCACAAGAGTGCAACAATACCCTATTAAGAAAGACAACTGTCTGGATGTGGGTATGTCCTTCACACTTTGTCAGTGTTTCGCAGGAAGTCGATGACGTGCAGTGTCGAATATGCAACTTGGACACAGGACACTTTTAAATTGAATAATGAAGCGGCCAACAAACTAAGCAACGACGTGGTGCTTCAGGGCTCTGCTGACCTTGAGTTCTTGAGAAGATTCAAGAGCACTTTAAGTGACTTACAGTAAGGAAAGGAAAGAATACTTTTATTATAACATTTGTAAATCCAGCATCTATTAGTGAAAGTAAATTGCAGTCAATAAGCCATAACATGTAAAAGCCTGCAGAGGACAAAATGCTTGACTTTTTAGAACCCTTGAACCAGCCCCTACGTCTAGTGTACAAATGGCAGCATGCTTAACACTGCATGTCATTGGTTCCTCCAAAGGTACACCCCTGCCAGATGTAAAGTTGATCGGATTAACGGTTTAAATATGCTTAGGACATACAAACATTACTTGTATTATCGTTAGATTGGTAAGTGGTGCTTTCCTGTGGCCAAATGAGTATGACAACAATAAACACAGCAATATGGGTGTTTGTTCCAGATGCTAATGTTTAGTATACTTTGATTACCAGATTAGCATATTCTCCCTCTTCTCTTGGGCCACATGTTTAGTACTAGTGTGGGTCTGCCATTTCCCCCCTAGCCTGAGCAGGTTAATTCATACCAGCCCTTATAGAGACAGACAAGTAAAATGTGTAACCCTAAGTGAATGAAATCTCTTTTTTTCAGGTAAAACAGTTCAACACATACTGCTTTTGCTATATCCTGTAGGCCATATCATCATGATTTTAGTCAATGTTAAGATGTAAAATACAATTTTACCATTATTTGCTCACTTTGGTGTGATGAAAACACCATATTACACAATAAATAATTGTAAAACTGCATGCTTTTGAACCAATACTGTTGCAAAAAATCTAGTTACATATAAAAGCTTGATTCATTCACTTAGAACTTTTTGTGATGAATAATATGGAATGAGAGCAGTTTCTTTCATCAGGAAGTGATGTTGGCAAATAAACTACTGTTTTTCCTTCTGTGCTATCTCTATAATATAGAGATAAAACAGAAGGAAAAACAGTAGTTTAGTTAAAGTCTATATCGTTTTGAATTAATGTAATGTTCTCTTTCAACCTCCTGCATTTCTCCTCTCAAAGGAAAACAAGTTGCCTTTTACTCTTCTCTTCCTGCAATCATCTTGAAGGTCTCTGTGTGTGGGAGTGCTTCCTATTGTTGATCCATGCTTTTCTGACACTTGCCTGAATGGAACTATTCTTCAGGATTTGTGCAGGCACTACAACCATCAGTGTTACAACGGCAAGATCACTCGTCATCTTCCCACCCATTAGCACGGCCAATTGGCTTTCTTAAGAGCATATGCATGACCTCTAAGCTAAATGAACCACTAACTGTGGGATACGTCATCTTTTGTAGAACATGGTAGTTACGAAATAACATGGCTGAATACAGTTCTTTCTAAATATATATTCCACACACAAAGGGTATCGCTCTGGTGCATGTTCTATTCAATTAATATCTGAATCTGTGAAGTTACCCTACTGGATCTAATTATTTCAAAACACATGCTGCACTAGAAAGTTTATTTAACTAATTCATCTGAATAATAAATAAAAAACATGTTCAATAGTTATATATATGATATTAAACTGTCTAACTAAAAGCCCATTAGTTCACACTTAGGATTGAATATTGGTGAAATATGGGGTCTAACACAGGTGTAATAATTTGATAACAGTGTATATAACAGTGTAATATGGGTATAATAGTCTTATGTCGGTGTAATAATATTGTAACATCGGTATAGTAATGGTGTAATACAGGTGTAATAATGGTGCAACATGGGTATAATACGGGTGTAAGAATAGTGTAACATGGGTGTAATATGCGTCTAATAACAGTGTAATATGGGCGTAATAGGGGTGTATTAATGTGTGGTATGGGTTTGTTATGGGTGTAATGTAGAAATTAGCAATCAATTATTTTTCCAATATATTTATATGTGATTTTAAGGGTTGACAGAAATTACATTTGAGGGTGATAGGACTTTTATTAGTTTTGCAGGTATTTTGACGGGAACTACTATTGGGCTCATCAGATAAACATTTGTTGATGCCATTGGTAATGCCACTCACCCTCATTTTCATTTTTTCACCTTTTCAATCAGTTATAGTTTCTGACATAATTGGATCAAAATGTAATCATGTACAGTTGCCGTACATTCATACTTTTCCTTTTCATCCTTAAAAGAAACATTGTTCTTTAAACGCATCAAATGTCTTCACAAAAAAGTCTGTGAAGGCCGATAGTTCCTGGACAAAAAGTAAGTGAGAAGAATATTTTTTGATTAAAACTTGAATTTAGTCCCTGGTTGACATGCATGTAAAATTATTCGCACTGAAGTCGAAATTGACTATAAGACTGAGAAGTACTATTGTTTATTTACTTTACCACAACCTCTCAAGGTGACCTTTATCCTTGGGACTGGAAAGAAGAGGGAATATAACATCACATATACATATTCAAAACTCTTTAATATACCTTTATCCTTGGGACTGGAAAGAAGAGGGAATAAAACATCACATATACATATTCAAAACTCTTTAATATACTTGGGACAAGACAGTCCAGATGCTCTTATAGGCAACAAAAGTTTGCCCTTTGAATTTTGATTCACTTGATCTTGAACTAAGGTCCCGCACACACAAACACTGACAACTAACTGACCTTAAAAATGCTGTGTCACTGAAGAAGAACAGTAGCGTGCTGCAGTTCTGCTCTGCTCCACTGATCTGAGAACGTTTTTGTTACCTCTTAGAAAAATGTACAAAGGCTGACACTTGATCTGTAGTGAAAAAAAATGCTGTTGCCCTTCCTCCCCCTTGTGGCCAATAGTTAACAACTTACAGTTATCATCTGGATGCTTCTGCCCCCCCACAGACAGACACACACACACACACACACACACACACACACACACACACACACACACACACACACATTAGACAAGTAAAGACACACTGAGATTTCTAGATCCGGTTTGCCCTGAGGCTGCTCTTGTCTTTTGTGAGTCTAGTCTCTTTTGATTCATTATAAAGCTGACGTCAGATGCCATTCTTCACATTCACAGCCACGCCGTCAATGTGTGTGTGTGAATCTGTGTATGAGAATGTATGTGTGAGCGAGAGGGAAGATGTTTAACCAGTTAATCAACATGATTCCAACATATTATATTTGAGCCTATACTGTTTAATATTTACCTGTTTTTGCAATATGCTGCAACATGCAAACCCTTCTACAGTATGAACAAACACACACACACACACACACACACACACACACACACACACACACCAGATAAAAGCTAATACCATGTCCAGGAACTGTCTGGTCCTGCATCCTGTAAGACCAGCTGCTGCCCTCTAGTCATACTGAGAAAGAAAAAAAGACAAAGATAAAAGATAGATAGATAGATATAGTGGACAGATACTATATCTGTCCACATAGGCCTACAGTAGATAGATAGATAGATAGATAGTTTTGTTTATAATTTCTATTTGTCTATTCCCTCTTACTTTTTCACCTCTGTAGGGGTATATTATTATTTGGTCTACTCTACTCCCTTTTCACATTTCAAAATGAGAAATGATTTCCTGAACGCAGCTCGCACACACCCACTTTCTCTCATACACAAGCACACACACATAAACACCTGATGCTACAGACGATGCTCTTGTGTAAGAGACAGAGGAGATATGAGGGAGAGCAACTGAGGACAGATAAGAGAAGAGAAGAAGAGGAGGCAACAGAAGGGAAGAAGAGAGGAGAAAACACGGAGATAAGTTGTAAAATATTCTTTAACGGTGGGAGTTTTGGATGGATGAATGATCTCACGGGAATCATGAAGAGACATGTGCAAGTGTACATACTTTCACGCACGTAAACCCACATACTTTTAAAAGCACCAGGTAAGCAATTTACAGACACATTGTTACTGTAATATTCTACAATTTACAACTACAACTAACCTGCTGTTGATTTTAGATATGAGGTTTTATATTTCAAAAATAGATGTAACAGTAAAGAAAGGTTTCAAGCAACTCTTTGTGTTGTTTTACTGTTTAAGTTCAAATATAAAAAGTCAGACAGTTGGAATTTGAGGTTAGAAATGGCAATAACTTCAAAGCTTCTCTGTTGCCTTGAGGCTACATGTACTGTATCTGTTTCCTCTTTCAGACGCACAGAACATATGATAATCACCTCCTAACCGATAACACAAGTATAGTTTCACATATATGATCAGCCATATTTAGGTTATCTTAAACAGCACTGTAGCCTACACAAATACACTTTTTTTTACCAAGAAATAACCCAAAGAATGGAAATTTGTTTCACATGGGTGAAAGTTAACAATTTGTGTTAAATGTATTTGTCACTAAAAGCTTTAACCTCTTAATTTGAATGCATCCCTTATTGAAAGTTTTAGATAAATGTAGATCAATCTTTGAACAAACAATGAAACACTTTAGTCGAGTGAAGCATGATATCAAGATAAACATCAAGATAAACTCACAAAAATAAATCATTGGATTGTGTCAGTGCAAATCATCAAACTCAATGACATCCATGCTGCATACTTTAGCTGGAAAACCCTGTATGTCGACATGAGGTTCTGTGTTATTGCAGCCACTCCCTGTATTACAGTTCCATCAAAAACATTCAACATTGACGTGTATCAAAGTGCGTGTGCACACATTTATTAATGTGAAGGTTAAAAATAGAAATTCCAGGGAAAAAAAACATCAAACACAATCCCCACAGATCCAAATACTTTTACATCTAAAGGGAGAAATGTTTACGCGAAATGTTTACAATTGCTTAGTTTGATCCACTTTTGTACAGAAGAGAATGGAAGACTGCCAAATGTACCTTACAACAATTTGACACTAAACTAATTACATTTTTATTTTTGAAAAATCGACAATATTTAGATACCACAGTTCATGTGAAAAACTCATGTGCTATAACATGCTATAAAACAGCCTACAGCAATTAAGTAACATGCACAAAATATCTATGTATTACAAAGTGCAAATAGAAGCAAAAGAAAAAAGAAATCCAAAAAATAATTATGAGTTGTACTTAGTAATTGTTGTTTTTATGTAGTAATCATTAGATACAAAGTAAAATAAATCACTTCTTAAGTCAAAGTGTAATTCTTAATCAAAGATTATCTGTAATGAAAAAAATCAACAAGTATTATCTCTGTAGTTCCCCTCAGCTTTAATATTGTTGGCTTCTTTAAGCTAATTGCTTTGTTTTTCCAGCAAACAAATATCAAGTGTTTTGATATCTTTCCAGCACTTAACATGCAACAGAGAAAGTGCGATTCTAGCTGGTGAACATGTTGGAGCTAAAAAGCCAGATATATTCTTTAGGAGTCCCTAACAGAGTGGAAATGAGAGTGTATATTGGACATTTGCCTAGCGTACAGAAACACAAATGTTAATGATTCTTGATTTAGAACATTTTTATTGACAAGTTCTTCACATCAACCTTGTAAATTATGAATCTGAAAAACATAATAGTAATTTAATTAAAGGTGCTTTACTAATTCATAATTGTATATTGGAACGTATACAAAAATGTCAGTATGTTGTTCCTTTGAATTTGGAAATTTGAGCCATTATTTCGCAAAGTAGGCCAATGTGGCCAGTGGGATACTGTACTATCTACATTTTACAAGCATAAAAGTGAGAAGTGCAACACCACATGCAAACAAAAAAACAGTGATTTATGAAGGACTGAGTATGTAACCTCAGGTAAGGTTACATCTATGTGAGATGTAACCTTATCTACTGTGTCCACCCATGCCCTGCAGTCAATCTGTGAATGTAGACAAAGCCACTGATAATAATAGATTGCTTTAGTTTACCAGTGGTGAAGGAGAATTTAGGGGTAATCCCATGATTTAAACAATAATACACTGTGCTCATCATATCCAGATCTAGAAACTGGGACTGCACGAAAGGGAAGTGGAATACAGAAATAATGACAGTATTAACGAATGAAATTTGAATATTTGGGACACCCATGAATGAATCATCAGAGGGATGTGACACAAAAAAACAACGCAAAGGCAAATAGAACCAACATAAAACCTTTTTTTAATGAAAAATAAATAATTTACTGTGAATTTACGTTACTTAATGTTTCCAGGACGATGCATGGCCTTTGCTTTGAAGGACGGTGGGGATGGACACATGTCCTTTTTGTCATCTGGCTTTCACTGCTAGCAGCTGCTCCAACCAAAGGTAATTCATACATAAAGAGGAAACAGAGAGGAACGTTTCATACTGATTTAAATTGAAGGAAATAGGATTTATTTGCACTAAAGAAGCTTTTAACTTGAAATAACACACTAAGGGACATATTTTTACGGCTGAAAAGTTTTATCTTTAGTCAGCTTGCTGCCTTGTCCACTTGACTACACTGTTAGATTGTATATATTCTTCTTTTTTTGTCTTAGTTAAGTACTTTGTACCACTATGATGTATGTGCAAGTGACAATAAAGCCTTTTTATCTTTGAAAACATCACAAAAACACTAGTCAAAGTAAGAGTATGAGAGGTTCCGAGTGTACAGCTAATTCTTAGCAACTCTGCAGCAACACTTTGCTTCTTTGAGTAAAATTGTCTTGTCATCACACTCAAAAAACTATGCTAACTAGTATTTTGGTTACAAGGGTTTTGGCTAGAAATGAAGGTTACAACAATAGCAACAGTGTAAACAGAACTAAAAGACAAACGAATGTTTAAATTCTTAAAATGTGTAACTAAAAATGTCTTAGCTAACGTTTTCAACACTGGTGAATATTGTAAAGCAGTCAGCTGCTAAAAATATAGATATTTCCCTCAGGAGTTGATTGAGACCAAAGCAAAAAATTAATTGAGAGTAAAATTAGATTGAATAATGGAGACAAAGGAGTTATTTTTATGTTTTTTGTGAGGCCAAAATCAGCATGAATGGTATTATTGCTAAGCATCGGCTGTATGCGTAAATAGGTAACTGTTTGTTCACAAGTTATATCCATATTGTCTTAAAATGTAAATGTTTCTTCAAACAGATGATTCTCACGACCATTCTCATTCTACGATGAGAATTGTTACGATTCTCATCGTAACAATTGAAGATGTTTAACATTTGTGATTTAAAGTCGCTGCTAGGATGGATTTGACAGTAGATCAGATTGTGTGAAAGCACTGATAACATGTCTACGGTATTGAAATGTATTTAAGTCCATTGAGATAAAAGTGTCAGCTAAATTACATTTGATGTTATGCCTACACTACAGGAGTTTGTGTACTTACATTAAAGTTATTTAGGTTAAACTCAATAATTAAGATGATTTCATCTTACAGTACAACTCTGAAGTGCAATAAAAACTTTGGTAACACTTTATATTAAGGTACACAAATTAACCATCAACTAGTTTAGTGGGAATGCTGACACAACATTCCAACTATCTGTTATGCTACGCACTAAATTCTTTATTATTCCGCCGGGTTATTTTGCGCTGCTTCTTCTCCCACATTGAACATCGCAGAAACTCCGTTCAAACATCAAAACGTTCAGCTCGGTCGGGAATTGATGGCTATTACTTTTATCATTCATAACTTTCATAATTCCAGAGATACATCCCATAATACATCCCATTTTTAACATTGAAGTGAATGGAGAACTCTTCAGACTTCAACAATCTTCATGCAACTTCAACTGCTAACTGCTCCTTCTTCAACTGCTAACTGCTCCTTCATACTTTCACTCAGAAACCTCATTCCAACTTTAAAATGTCACATCTTTCTGACATTATTCGTGTAACACAACTTTTAAATCTGATTCTTACTTTTACAGATATTAAACATTGTTCAGACCTTAGTAAAGAGGCCTTCTTCAGATTTTAGAGTGCGTGATGTCACAGCTAGAGTGGAGGACAGATTTAATTTTGCCTTCATATTTTCTTTTAAACCTGCCATAATTCCCAAACCCTATATTGGGGAATCTTATGTGTGTTGTGATGTTTGTGCTGGAGCCGCTTTATCCAAAACAGCACTCCGGTTAGAGAGTTGACACGGAGACAGGAAGTACAGTCGTTGGACTTTATATTAGCTTGGTTCTGATCATCAACACAGAATACATCATGTTTGATGTGGAATCACATACAGGATGTCGAATGGGTTTGATGAGGATGATAATAATGATAATGATAATGACAACATAGAGTAGAGAATGAATGAATGGTTTCTGCAAAATACACAGAAATAGAAATAAGGTTCACATTACAATAACTAACCAGACTCTGGTTATTAATAATAAGCAACAGCGATACTAATTGTTGCTAAAACACATTAGACACGTTGCAAACACACACATGGCTAATAAAGGCTAAGTAAGTATCTCATCCACACACTATCACTGAATAGCTTAACTTAGCTAACGAGCTAGCATTAGCTCCATTCCTGAACAACATAGCAGCTAAAAACGGGACATCAATAGACTCATTAACACACTAGCCTCATCTCAATACCCCTCCTCGACTCCTCCTTTCCCTCACTCGCGTCCCTTCCTTGCGTCTTTGCTCCGCCTCTGTAAGATGCGAGCGAGAGACACGAGGAGGTGACGCGAGGACAGAGGAGTCCTCAGGTATTAATTGGGATGTCCTCATTCACTCAAACGTCACTCTTAAACGACGTCTGTTAATGATGACATCGGGCTTAACTGAATAACCCTTTAGAACCGGCCCATTTGTTGTTAAATATGTATTTAAATGATTAATCTTTCTCTTGTTAGTCAAGGAATTCAATGTATGATGGTTGGTCCTGCTTTTGTGTTCCGTTTTGGTGTATTATGTACATTTCAATAAAATTTTAATTATAATAATGTGAAAGCCTTTACTCTGAACATGTGTGTCCTGTAGATCCCCACATTCACCACAAACCCACATTCAGGACTGTGCATTTTAAATAATTTAACTACTCAATATTTTAACACAAAACAAAACAAATAATTGTTATTTATCAAGATCTAGCCATTTATGAAATAGCTTTCTTAATAGCTATGTTTTAGTGACGTTCAAGATCATTAAACATGACTTAAATTGTTAGTATAGCCTAACCCTTAAAGGGGACCTATCATGCAAAATGCACTTTTGTACGTCTTTTATACATGAATATGTGTCCCCGGTGTTCCAGGGAACTCACCAAGTGTCAGAAGACACAACCCTCTCTATTTTCCTCCATACCCAAATCTCTAAAAAAGGGGCTGCAACGGATCTGATAAAAACTGATCCAGATTTGAACACTGTCCTGACGTCAGGACAGTGGCGCTACAGCTATTGGGCCAACTCCACCAATCAGGAGGAGACAGCCACGGCCATTGCCGTTCGAAAGCGCTGGAGACGCTGTAGTACATATGCCAGGCCAGTAGATGGTGCTGTTCTCACTGAATCTGCCCTTGCTAAAACAGGGGTAAAAAATTCCAAATTGAGCGAAATGAGGCATGGCTAAAATGCATGTTCTGTTTGGTATTTTGAAAAAAAAAAAGTATAAATATGCCTTATATAGGTATGGTCCTACACTATATTATTCAAATATAGCATGATAGGTCCACTTTAAGTAATGAATTGCACATAATAATTCCCACGGAGCTGTGAGCACTTAGACATTTATGTGACGCTTTTCCACTCATTCTTCCAGTTCTCCGTTTTCCTCTCTTGAAATTGACCAGCTGTGAAGGTGGGGGCGGGGCTTTTATACGCGAGTAGTGAAAACACTTCCGCGTAGTCTGCTCTCGTGTATCCTCCCGCACCCCTCCTCCCGCACCCCTCCTCCCTCACCCCTCCTCGACTCCTCCGTGTGCATTTCAGCTATTGGGACGTCCTTCAAAATGGCGTGTCTTGAAGAAGAGAGGAGTCGAGGAGGGGTATTGAGATGAGGCTACTGACTCAGCAGGACACTGCATACAATCTTATAACATTACCAACACTAAAGATCTGCATATATGCTCACATTCTTCACGAACGCATTCTCTCTGTGACGATGGTAATTATGCATGTGACGATGCGACCGCAATAATGTCCTGTCATGAACGCACATGTGCAAACAGCTCGAGGACCCGTAGCTGCGCTACTTTAGCTGTCCCTAAATGTGCCTGACTAAAAACACGAACGATATAACGCAGATCAAGGAAAACAAGGAGAATTTACAACACCCTACATTCCTGAGACATAATTTTTCATGACAAACGTAGGAAAACATCTCGTAGCTTGAAAGATAAAAAACAATTAAGCAAAATAATTAAACAAAATGCCTCTTGACAAAAACTTTCAACATGTCTCCATTAAACCCGATTGTAAGTTCAGCCTCATCTTTCCCCACCACAGCAGCCGCACACATTTAGTTAATCTGCCAAAAAGGCCACATTATTAACCCGAAAGTACACAAAAAGTACACTTCAGATGCTCAAGTTCCTTGACATGCTTCACGCTTTGAAATTTCACCGATATCTGTTACGGTTCTTCAACAAAACGTTCACATGTTTATCTCTCATTCAAAACAATGAAAATGCTTTCCTCTCACTAATCACCATGGAAACCTTTGATCTCTGGACACGTCGTTAGCTCAAATATAAACACCTGTGTCATGGAACACGATGATGTCATAACTCCAATTGACATAATTAGAGCAGCAGACTAATGACGTGGTCACTGGAGTTTAACAGACTGTCTCAGCCTATTCTTTTCCATCTGATGGAGACTTCATACTGACTTCAACATGTTCCACATATTTTAGACATTATTGGTGACGTGTGCTTTTAGTTCTAAAGTTTTCAGTTCAAATATTCTGCTGCTTTTTCATGCATTTAGACTTTTATTTTCTTGTTCTTATTTCACATTCAAGTCCCCTCTATTCATGAACCCTTTAAAGTACTCAGCCACACCAGTTATATACCAGGTGCGACTGTTGCTATGTGAGTTAATCTTTCAAATACAAGGTGGCTTGTTTGATTCAAGCTCTTGTAGTCAATATGTCAAGGTATTTATCCCTAACATTTTATCAGCTAACTAATGACACACACTCAGAGGATCTTTATAAACGTTTTAAGTATTGCACATCTTTAAACATGACTCTTATAAATCACTTTTAAAACCAGCGATGCACTACAGTGTCAGCTTTTCTAAAATAGAAACTTCAATGTTCACATCTTTCTAAAGGATTCTACTTTTCAATGACCTACAAATAATCCTAATAATAATCCCATTTTCAATCTTCCAACTGTTCATATTTTTTGGTCAATTAACAAACCTGTTACAAATGTGTTGTTCAACACATTTGAGCCTTTGCCACATTTATTTGAATTATTTATATAATTCCTACATAATGGGGAAGCTTCCCACTCTATGTTATGTAAATACAAGTCTGGAAACCTTTGATCTCTGGACGCCTCGTTAGCTCAAATATAAACACATGTGTCATGGAACACGATGATGTCATAACTCCAACTGACATGCTCAGAGCAGCAGACTTCAGATAATGGTTAACGGTCCTGCCCTCAACAGCTCTACGTCAATTATGGGGTGTCATCATATGCCGTTTCCATGGAAACGCATCCCTCGCCATAAAAGACGATGTCGCTATACATTAACTCCTATGTAAATGTTTAAAAAGTGCTCAAACTTCACATGTGTGCTAACAGTCCAGCCGTGAAAACATCTACGGGACAGTTTTGAGATTTCTTCAAATGCCGTTGCCATGGCAACACAATGCTCGCCATGAAACACGGTTTTCTCATAACTTCAGGGAAAATGCTCCAAACGACCCAAAACTTCACAGGTTTGGTAACAATGCAGCCATCAACGCATCTAAGCGTATTATGGGATGTCATCAAATGCCGTTGGCATGACGACAGATCATTCGCCATCAAGTTAGTTCAAAAGTTTGCAGTTCAAATATTCTGCTGCTTTTCCAAGCCTTTTTACTTTCTTTTCTTCTCTCATCACACATTCAAGCCCCCAGTGTTCATGTATCATTTCAATCTAAATTCTTCACTTTCTTCTTACACATTACATTTCAGCATAGCAGTTTAGCGTCAGCTTTTCAGCATAAAGCATTCCCACTAGCAATTTCTTCAGGAATTGCATTCTCTAGTTGTTAATTAACATGCATATAAGCAGTATATTGGCTCTTTATTAGTCAGTATAAAACACTTATTAATGCCTTATTCTACATGACAATATTCTACAAGTAATAAGGCATTAGTTGAGAGTTTTTCCTCAATAACCCTCTAATTAGTGGTTATTTAATGCAAGTAAGGAAGTTGTTGTACATGAGTTTTGGCCTTAATATGCTCTGCTCAATATGGGCCTAATAAGGCAGTAGTACCACACGAATAGTAATTATTCCATAATAACACTTAACAAATATGATATATTCTTATGTAACAAGACATGAAACTATAAGTGTTAATTGTGTCTAAATAACTCACAATTAGGTATTTCTATCTAAGAATATGTTTTGTGGTATTGACAGTTCAGCTACCAATAGCAAGGTGATATTGACCTGCATGTTTCATATTTGCACATTTATATTTTTGTAAAATTTGTACTGAAGGTTAGACAGGAAACCGCATAGAGGAAGTAGGAGAAAGTGAACTGAATAGCATGGCAGTAGACTGCTACAAATGTTCCCTATGCAACCTGAATAGTAAAAGGGTCAAGTCCGTCAGAAAGCAATGACTGTAAGTGTAAGCCTGCACTCACACTGTAAGGATTAGTAACGTAGCGTTAGCATACATGCTAGCGTTAGCCATACTAGCCTGTAGGCTATACTTATTGCACAGCTAGCATTAGCTATATTTACCTTGTTTACATTTAGCGGTCCTATGTTTTAATCTGTGTATGTGACACTTGCATGTATGCATTAAGTGCCTTGTAACTTATTTTGTTATAGTTTCACTCCGTTTGAATGTCAGTGGACTGCAAATAAGTCAATAAAGGAGCATGGCTGCTCATTCCCTGGCTCTCAAAAGAGTTTGGCTGGCTGTTTAATCTATGTTCACACTGAGACAGTACAACACATAGAGAGAACAGTACACCTATTGTGTAAGTATATACAAGCAGGTCACACAGTACAGTATGATCACAAATACATAAAATCTGTTAAAAATCAGTTTTTAAAGTACAGGCTGCATATGTGTTCTCAGCCTTGGAGAAACTTGACATGTTTTGGTATCTGAACCTCTCTTTAGTGGTTCATTAATAAAACAGATATTTCAACGTGTGCCTACTTTGTTCATGTACTGTTGAGGTTAATTTCAGTAGTTGTGTGCTATAATGTATTTACAAAGTGTGAAGAGGAGGCAACTTTAGAATAGGGAACCTGTTCAGGTCAATTAGAGTCAAACTACTAGCTTATTGATTATGAACAAGACTTCACTTTAAAATAGGGAACATATTCTGTTGTGCACCGACAGAAATGTTGAGTTAGTCACATTTTATGTTGTTTTATGGTTGTATTGTCTTCCACTTCCTGTTTTGTTTTGTCACTCACCGTTTACCTGTAATTCCAGGTTCCCTGATTGTCTACTTTTTGTGTGTCTCCCGCGCTCATCAGCACCAGCCCCGACCCTGATTGTTTCCACCTGTGTCTTGTTGTCGTGTGTTTAAATTCCCCAGTCTCCCAGTGTTCCTTGTCAGTTCGTCTTGTTTCATGCCTAGGTCAGATCTATGCTCTCCTTGATACCATGATGTTTTTGTTCCTCACTACGTGAGCGATTTTCTTTTGTTCACCTTTCGTCATCTCATCTAGAGATTAGAAAGTGTTTATTTTTGTTCATCTATTTGAAAATAAAGTATCTTACAAATACTTTACCTCTGTCTCCTGGGTCGTGCAATTGGGTCCTATACCTTGAGTTTCTGAGTTCGTAACAGATTCTTAGATAGAAATACCTAATTAGAGTCAAACTACTAGCTTATTGGTTATTTCACTTTAAAATAGGGAACATGTTCTTAGATATAAATACCTAATTTTGAGTTATTTAGACTTAAATAACACTTATAGTTTCATGTCTTGAATAGATCATATTTGTTAAGTGTTATTATGGGAGAATTATTATTCTTGTGGTACTGCTGCCTTATTAGGCCCATATTGAGCAGAGCATATTAAGACCAAAACTCATGGACAACAACTTCCTTACTTGCAATAAATAAGCACTAATTAGAGGGTTATTGAGGAAAAACTCTCAACTAATGGCTTATTACTTGTAGAATATGGTCATGTAGAATAAGGCATTAATAAGTGTTTTATAATGACTAATAAAGAGTTGATGGTTAATTTGTGTACCTTAATATAAAGTGTTACCAAAACTTTAATACCTCTTATATATGCAAAGCTTTCCACTTCCAGTATTGATACCAATACTGCAAATATTTTTATTTGAACGGGTATATCTATAGTTCAACTATATTTCATGTAAACATTGCTATATTTTAATGTTATAATAGTTTTCCTAAAATCGTTTTTTATAATTGTTTTACTTATTTATTGGTCCTTTTCTTACAATGTACCTTCTTTGACTGTGTTTATGTATGCACCATATACAAGGCAAATCCCTCAGATGTGTTAACCAACTTGGCAATAAACCTGTTTCTGATACTGATTCTGATGAATCTGCATTTCTTTCACCCATTCCAGCATTTGGCTATTTCCTGGGGGACACAAAGGCAGTGTTAAATGGCTGTAAGGACCACTGGACCCTGCAGGACAGGGCCGCCATGCCGTTGCTCTTTCAGATGACTTTGTGTGTGGACATCCGTGTGGTCGTCCCCGGAGCCTGGGTGGCCTTCTCTTACAGCTCGGTCCACGCACCCAGACCTGAGCTGGGTCTGGAGGGGGATGAAGATGCACTGTATGCATGGTTGCTAAGGGTCCGACACCGATTTCCCATCCGGCTGTCCCCAAAACACTGGCATCGAGTATGTCTGAGGAGAGACGTGCAACACAACTCATTTAGCCTGGAGGTAACACTACAAAATATAGAGTGCTAGTATGTTAACTGGTGGATAAAGTATTCTGATCCTTAACTTCAGCAAAAAATAACAATATCACATTTAGAAAAAATTCCATTACAAGTAAAAGTCCTAAATTAATAAAGTTACTGAGGTCGAAGTTGTACTGAATAATTACTGATGGATTAATGTGTAAATATAGAAAAAGTTAAACATTTCTTTGAGTGTAGTAGACATGGAAGTAAAAGTATGTGTAGTTTTTACCTAAGTAAAGCACTTCAGTAGTTACTTTTTACCAATGATAGTGTTTGCAAACAATTTATTGTTTAGACAACAATACATTTATCGTGAACAAATACCTGGGGTTACGTATTGTAACCCAGCTTCTATGAGTATAGGCGCAGCCCTCTAAGGCTATCGCTATTGGGTAATCCCACTGCACGTGTGCAGCACTGACAGACTTAATCCACGCCCACCTATGACGTGGGCCCTACCTACGGCCTCACTTCCGTATAAATAGGAAGTAGGCCCGACCATCTGCTCCCACGCCAACAGCTTTTCTTCAGCTATTCACGGAGCCAGTGGGGCCCGAACCTTAGAGGGCTGCGCCTATACTCATAGAAGCTGGGTTACAATACGTAACCCCAGTTCTATTTCGTATAAGGCTTCGCCCTCTAAGGCTATCGCTATTGGGTTAAGGTCGAAGCAGGATGTAGTCCACGCCCCACTTGTCCGTCCGTTACCAGGAGCACAAAAACACACCTACTCAATTTAATAACCCATGTCCATTGCGGCATGCGTAATGGAGCATCACAGTCCCTGGAAATGTAGCATTTAAAATGAATATTCTCCATGAGGGAATGAAGGTGAATACCTGTCGTTATAAAAAGTAGAGACCAAAGTCCCACTTGTTACAACGAAAAAAGAGAGGAAACAGGGCAGCTCTCTGAGTGCCGACAGGCAGGAGAGAGGGCACACAGTTGTGTCCCCGACATTACTCACTCTGACAGGACATTCAGTACTGAGTGTGTCAGAGAGGAATGGGAGACATCCCTCAAATAAAAACGAATAAAAGAACAGGGGGAAGACCAAGATGCAGCAATGCAAATGTCTTCCACTGTCAGTCCTCCGTGCAACGCCGTAGAGCAGGGCTATTCAATTGGCGGCCCGCGGGCCAAATCCGGCCCCGGGGTGATATTTACTGGCCCTTTGAGTATAATGTTAAAAAGTAATCCATTTTTTTTTTTTAAGATTTATTTATTTATTTATTTTTGTGCCATAGTGCCTTTATTCCAGAGAGGGTGTTACATTGAGAGATAGAGGGGTAGACAATGCCTGACAACTTCGACGGGCTCGGGTTTCGAACCCACCTACTATACTGTAGTGACAACTCCTGTCATTGATTGCATCTCTGCGTGAATGATTAGATCATTTCACCTAAATGAAATCAAATGAAACATGTAGGCCTACTGAGTTCTGAACTTGCCATTTAGATCTATAAAAGGCCTTGGGGCTATGTTGTTTGATTGAATTAAACACAATATATGCACTCCACTATGCTGTTGTAGTATTTACTGTATCTGAAGCTCTTAAATATGATTGCTCATATTTCAAGCCATCTTTTTCCCGGCCCCTTGCTTTGGATCATTTTTATCAACCGGCCCCCATTCCAAACTAATTGAATAGCCCTGCCGTAGAGGTTGATACAATTCCTCTGGTGCCGTGCGCTTGATGTTCTCCGGGGGATCCACCCCAGAGGAGACATACGCCTGTGACAGGGGGTCCTTCTTAGGTCGACTATTTTCATTTCCTCGGTCCTCGGTCCTCGGTATCACCGGAAGTTGATTTGTCTGCGCCATCTTGAGTAGCGTCCCATGGCTCTTATTTCTGCCGGAGGACCGAGGATCGAGGAGCGAGGAGCAATAATGGAGGAGCGATAACCGAGGAACCACCAGACCATCCTCCGGTGAAATCCTCAGATACTCTCCCCGCCCCCTTACTGTGTATCGCTCACTGATTGGACGATGCAGCGCATGCACTGATCTGATGCTTCTTGACATGAGAGCAGTTTCCCAGCGGAGTGAAGAAAACACATGAAACTCACTGGGACTCACTCCTCAGTTTATACTGTGTTTTGTTTCAATTAATGTATCATTCAGTTACAAATATGTGATATATCTGAACAACAAAGTGGTCAAAAATTATTTTATTCATTTATTGGAAACATTTTCATGATCGCTTTTTCGTTTTACATTTTCATTTATTGTCATTTCCATTCAGTCAGTCATTAAGTGCTATTTAACATGTTAATTTGCTACATATCCACACAAACAAACAAAGTGTGCAATCCAATGATTAATGAATGTTAATCTAACTGGGTTTTGATAGATAACATATCTCTTTTTCTTCTCTGAATTATTTTATTTCTATTGTGCACTCTAATCAATATTAATCCAACTATTGTTCGTTTATACATTTTAAGAATGGCGTTTATCTTTTTTGAGTTCTTATTTTATTTAATGTATTTGGGTCTACAACAGATGATACAAATGTTTGTGTCATTAAATGTGTACTAACAGAGGCGGGGGTGTTTGTGAAAATAACGGGGACAGAGCTGCTGTCAGACGAACAGCTGGGCGGCGTCATCACAAACGGATGTCGCTTCACGTGGCGCTCCGGAGGAAAGGACGTCCCATTGCTCTTAAAACTAATTTCCCTGCTTCTCGTGGTTTCCTTGCGTCTCTCCATGCTTCCCTGGTGGGAGGGACTAAACGCAGGGAAACGACGCAAGTGAGGGACGCAAGGATTCCATTTAATCGATCTGAGAAGGACCCACAGCCTCACACAGCCAGTGTGACAGGCGTTGTGCAGACAGAGGCTGCCCCATTGAGCGCTCTCTGTAATGCACAAACAGACGCTGGGAACTGCGCAACACAGCCGCGCATGCCGTGTAGCATGACAGCGCGCGCACGGGACGGAGGATATGAGATGTGGCTTCCTCCTCTGATGTGTGAGGAGGAGGAGGAAAAAAACCATCCAAAGTTATCACTCTTGATCTAAAAAAGAGACCTGTGATAATTTTTGGCATAAAAACCAGGCTAGGGCGCAAAACAGCTAAGCTGCCATCTCCTTGGATCTGGATACATGACGGAGCCACAGAGAGAGCAGACAAATCACTCACCCCTTTTAGCTGATGTCAGAGCCAAGAGCAGAGCTACTTTGGCTGACAAGAACTTTTAGGGGGACCTGATCTAAAGGTTCAAATGGAGCTTTTCTCAGTGCGCGTAACACTATAGCCAAATCCCATTGAGGCGCCAAAGCGCGTGACACAGGTCTGAGTCTCTGTACTCCCCGTAGAAAACGTTTTGTCAGAGGGTGACTAAACACCGTGCTGACACCAAAACCTACGTGGCAAGATGAAATGGCAGCAGCATATGTTTTGACCGTGCTATAAGCCAGTTCCTGTCCAGCAACAGCTGGAGGAACGACAGCACGTGAGGCAGGGTGACCGTAACGGGGTCCAGGCTTTTCCCTACATGTCAAACGGAACGCTGTCCATTTGGCTGTGTAGGATGCTCTGGTGTGTGAAGCAGCTGCGCTGATCGTACACCTCCCTGGCGATTTATGTAGGCCGCCGCTGCTTTGTTGTCTGTTCGAATCAACACATGTTGATTGTACCGCAACGGGGCGAAAGAATGCTGGATTACTCTCCATACGGAGAGTAATTCCAGCACGTTTATATGGAGAGACATGTGAACCGGCCACTGTCCCCCCCCTGCCTGCGACATGCACGTTCCTCAGCCTGCGAGAGATGCGTCTGTGAACACTGCGGTGTGTGACGTCACTCTGCCCAGGGGCACCCCCACTGACAAGACGTGGAGATTTTTCCAGTAGGTTAAAACCAAACCCACGGAAGGAGGAATGTACACCATGCGTCTCCTCTGACGCACAGGGTCGATGCGCAGGCGAATAAACCACCTCTGGAGTCTCCTCAAGTGAAGGAGACCCAGGGCGATCACCACGTGACCAGCTGACATCATGTCTAAAAGCTGCATCACGGAGAGGGCTGTCACCGCCCCGCGGGGTGTGACGCGCCGGAGGAGAGCTGTCACTTTCTCCCCTCTCCGCTGTGAGAGTCGCGCTCTCATGCGGGCTGAGTTCAATTTCACTCCCAGTTAAATGATAACCTGGGAAGGAAGAGGACAGCTCTTCTTCCATTTGATAATGAAACCCAGGCTTGATAGATGCACGCTGTATCGTCTGTGTAAAGCCGCTTCCTCCCTGGAGCGAGCCAGCCACAGCCGGTCGTCCAGGTAAAATAACACTCTCATCCCCATTCTGTGCTGCTCCAGCCGTCTCCACCCACTTTGAAAAAGTGCGTGGAGCCAGGAATGAGAAACGCAGGAATTTGCTGTGTTTCGGGATGATGGTTACATGGAGGTAAGCATCCTTCAGGATTATGGCTGGTGAACACACTCCAGCACCTGTTTGATCGTCAGCATGGGAAAAGGCCATTCCCTTGTTGAACACTGACAGATCGAGGATGGGTCTCATTCCCCCCGCCCCGTCTCCTTCGGGACCAGAAAATAGCGGGAGTAAAAACCCCTGATTTTCTTCCCCTTGAGGAACCCTGGAAAAAGGCTTCCTTTAACAGAGTTCCTGCCGCTCTGCACGGAGCGCGAGACACTGTTCCTGGGATGACAGGGTTCCCTGTATCCCGTAGAACTGCGGGGGGGAGAGGCGAACTGCAGAGACTACCCTCTGCCCATCCGCCTGCTCATCCATCTGTCCATCAGACACACACGCCGCCACCCTGAGTAATACTCTGATAGCGCCGGGTGTACATTCTCTGGATGTGCTGTGGTTGGTGGCAAACCACGCCAGAGCCCTCCACACACTGCATTTCACACAGGCTCTCATTATGTCGCCGTTTTAGGAGAAGTCTCGTAAACCGCTCGTTCACGCTCAACACCACTAAGGGATGAGCGGAGGTGTGTGCAGTGCTGTCCCCACGAGGCGTAATAATGGCCCCTTTGATCCATGAATGGAGGGGGCGTAGTCATCCGACTTGTGCCCTCCACTCGGACCCAGGAATCAAGGGCTTCGTCCACAGAGTAAACCTCCTGGACTGCCCAATCATCCTCGACCGCAGCAGCAGCAGCGAAAGCGTCCGCTCTCTGCTGTTTGAGGGCCAGAGGGAGATGGGTACATAGTGAGCATGACACCTGGGGGGCGTGACCTCATTACGACCGTGGGTAGGAGGTACGTCTGAGACAGAGGAAAAATCTGTGCTGCCTAATAACCGGAAGGTTTAAGGTAGACGAATTGAATAGTAAGCCCTGCTGTTTTATTAACTGATAAGTTAAAAAAAAACAGCCGGCTTAAGCAGCGAGCCATGCTGCCAAGTAACCAATAGGCTATTGGCAGCCGGCTTAACCGGGGAGCCTTGCTGCATATTACAGTACTTCCCTCTGTCCATCGAACACACGCCGTCCACTCAGCGCGCGAACCTGCTCTGGATGTGCTGTGGTTGTCATGGTGACGAGCCACGCCAGAGTCCTCCAGACGCTGCATTTCACACAAGCACATGTCACGTTTAGGAGAAAGCTCGTAAACCGGACCTTGATGTGCGTTCACGCTCAACACCCCTAAGGGATGAGCGGAGGTGTGTGCAGTGCTGTCCACACTGTAATAATGGCACTCGTGGGCTCATTACAACCGTGTGTAGGAGGTAGGTCTGGGACAGCGGAGAAAAACCGAGCTGCCTAAAAACCAATAGGTTTTAAAGACAGCAGATTTATGCAGCGAGCCATGCTGCCTATAACCGACAGGTTAGGGGCAGCCGGCTTACCCGGTGGGCCTTGCTGCATAATATTAACCATCTGTCCACCGAACACACGCGTCGCCACTCTGAGTAATACTCTGAGAGCGCGCGACATGCTCTGGAATGTGCTGTGGTTGTCATGGTGACGAGCCACGTCAGAGCCCTCGCCGCCGTTGCCCGTGAAGCAACCCAAGAGGGGCCCGTACCGAAAAAGCTGCGAGGGGGCCTCCACACGCTGCATCTCACACCGGCTCTCACCCTGTCTCTGTTTAGGAGTTTTAAGGCTCGTAAACTGGACATTGAGGCGCGTTCCCGCTCAACCCTGCTGAGGAATGAGCGGAGGTGTGTGCAGTGCTATTCACACAGTGCGTAATAACAGCCCTGGGCTCATTACGACCGTGTGTAGTAGGCACATCTGGGACAGAGGAAAAAACCGTGCTGCCGGCTAACCGACAGGTTAGGAGCATCAGGTTTAAACGTCAAGCCCTGCTGTCTAATAACCGCCTGGTTAAATACAGCTGGCTTGTGCCGCGAGCCCTGCTGCCTGCTAACTGACAGGTTACAGCCGGCTCAAACGGCGAGCCCCGCTGTCTGTTAACCGACCGGTTAACCCCAGCTGGCTTATGCACCTCCACACGTTGTATTGCACAGCGGCTCTCATCATGTCGCCGTTTAAGAGAAGGCTCGTAAACCGAACATTGAGGCGCGTTCACGCTCAAACCCGCTTGAGGAATGAGCGGAGGTGTGTGGAGGCATATCTGTGACATAGGAAACAAGCCCGTGCTGTCTAATCAACCGACAGGTTTTTAAAGACAGCCGGTTTGTGCCGCGAGCCCTGCTGCCTAATAACCGACAGGCTATGAGGCAGCCGCTTATACAGCTTTTTTATGTCATCCGGAGGAGAGCTCTCCTGAACCGGGGGAACGGGGAGATCTCATTAGGCGGCTGCCTTTCCGATGATCTCCGGGAGTTCCTGGAGAATACCGCCTATACGGCAGAGCCGAGATGGCGGATAGAGGGACCCGGTGACCCGGTGTTAGCCTGGCAGCCGAACCCATAGGCTCGGCTGTCGGGCTGACAGTCTCCCCCGGGGGAACCACATGGTGATCCGTGAATGGAGGGGAAGAAGTTGCCTGACTGCTGCCCGCCACTCGGATCCAATAAATCAAGGGCTTGATCCACAGAGTGAGACTCCTGGACTAGCCAATCATCCTCAGCCGCAGCCGCGAGAGCGTCCGCTCTCTGCTGTCTGTGGGCCAGAGGGCCAGTGCTTCTGCAACGGAGTGCTGAAGAAAAATGGGAGCAGATGGTCGGGCCTACTTCCTATTTATACGGAAGTGAGGCCGTAGGTGGGGCCCACGTCATAGGTGGGCGTGGATTAAGTCTGTCAGTGCTGCACACGTGCAGTTGGATTACCCAATAGTGATAGCCTTAGAGGGCGAAGCCTTATACGAAATAGAACATATCATGTGGGTGAGGTTTTTAATGAAAGACAAAACAATGCCCTGAACAATAAACAGTAAGTTATAAAACACACATTTTGAACAAAAAGTATAGTGAAATTATCCAAACAGCTTAATAAAGAGTTGAAATGGTATTAATTGCATTTTTCAAATCAGTTTAACTAACTTGAGTTTGTAATTAAAACTAGTATGAAAACAGGAGTAGTGGTACTGTAACAGGAGTGCAACATGTTTCTCGCTCTGGAATGATGGCTAAAACTACAAAATTAAGATCCATGTTGTGAAAACCAGAATTATCCTATTAATGACCAAGAACACATTTTGGGGCAGCTTGAGCCAAGCAATTAAGAGATTCAAATATTTAAACTGTCTTTATTTGCGAATAAAGCCAAACATGCTGCGTAAATGTTTCAGGTTGATGGGAAAATGGTGGCACAGAGGACAGTCATCGCTCAGGCCATCCCCCCTGCCGGCTCCATGTGGCTGGGCTGCCGTCCCAGAGACCAGCCCCCAGGAGACACGCTGGGGGAAGTGGAGTTGTACCTGTTCCGCATGTGGGGAGACCTGGGTAACCATGGTCTCTGTGAAGACGGGTCTGTGATTGGCTGGAACGCTCACTACTGGGGTGTGACCAGTCCCAGAGCCAGACAGAGAGACCCCAACCTTCTGTGTGGTGAGACTAATTGCATTCATAACAAGATACAGCTTTATCTCTTCTATCCTGTCATTATGCAATTAATGATGCATAAATGTAGAATACTAACTAAACATAGTAAAGCATGATTGCAATTTGTCATAGAAAAGCCCTTAAGCATGTATCATATCCGGTATTATTGTAGCGTTCTCTTCTTCAATATTCTGATTTGAACCAACCAAAGTGCATGCAGAACATTAATCTTAATAGTATATATCTAATAAAATATAAATGTTAAAAAAAAATCTTAATAGTATATGTTTGTTGGTGTTTTCCTCTCTAAGACTTGTCCAGTGTACTAGTTGTGCATGTTTCTAGATCATGTCTTTGTTGAATGTTGCATGTTGTCATGTGTCTTGTAGACCACAGATGGTTAAGGCGTGGGGCACGTGTTTTCAGAAGGTCGTTAAATGGTGTGTATTAATCTGATGTACGCCTGTATATGTACGTGTATGTATGTGTATGTATGTATGTATGTATGTATGTATGTATGTATGTATGTATGTATGTATGTATGTATGTATGTATGTATGTATGTATTTAATCAAGCATTACATTCCCTGCTTCAGCACCAACAACTGGAGTTGGAAGGTTCTTCTCACCACCACCTGGTAATTAAGACAATAATATACAATTAAATAATGCCTCTAATTATGTCAATTACAGGGATATTAAAAGTCCCATGTCATGGCCATTTCCACTGATTATAATTCCATTGTTGAGGTCTACTAGAATAGATTTATATTGTGCAATTTTCCAAACTCACATTGGTTTCTCATACAGCATCTCTGTAAACTACGTGTATTCACTGAATTTCACTCTGCCTTTAACGGCTCGTTGTAGCTCCAATAGCTCCAGCCCCCACCCTCCTGTGAGCACAGTGTGCTCTGATTGGTCGGGACGTTGTGAATCGCGCTGAGCTCCGTGGAGGTGTGGTTTCCTTGTTTAGCGATACACAGCGAAACACCGCCAAACTCATCCTGAGCACACACAAACTCACAGCCGAAGTAAAAACAATAAGTGTGGCTTGATATTGAGTAAGAAAAAGGTTGAGGTTGTGAGAATGGGTCTGCAGAGAGAATTTCGCCGCGATCCCAACTGTCTGTTATCAGCCTGCAGCCAGGGAGGAGAAATCAGCAGAGCTGCCTGCACTGAGTGTGTGTGTGTGAGGAAGTCCGTGGATTGGTCAATTTGGATCAATCAGCGGGGGCTTAACGTAACGTAACGGCTCCGCGGACGTAACGTAACGGCTCCACGGATTGGTCCATTTGGTTCCGGGTACCGCATGACCGTATCGCGTCATAGCTCTGGGCGTGGCTACTGGGTATCCAGACGTCACGATGCCCAGGAAGAACATGAGAAATCTCCAACGAGGCGTTTTGGGGAGGTCTTTTCTGTGTTAGAGTTTTACTCCCTACAGGGTGTACTTTGAGGGTTTTTGACTCTGCAGACCGTTTACATGCATAAAAACCTTCATAACACACAAGAGGACGGGTAATAACTGGAAAAGCATGACATGGGACCTTTAACATCTTTCTTCCTTCTTCCTTGTACCTAAAGTGCCTTACCCTACATCTACCTTGAGTCCTGTCATAGCAACGCCTGTCTCTCATGTGAGCAACCACACTTCTAAGATCACAGGTAAGAAATTATGACTATGTCAAAAAAAAAAATTGTATAGGTTAAATCAAGTAATGTCTATTAGTGAGAAAGTACTCATTTTGTAGTTTTGGCCATCTTTTTTGGCCATCATTTCCGACAGTTAACAACATATCATATTGTCAATAAGTAATTTAAAGTAACATAGGTCAATTTGGCTTTTCATTTTGAGGTTTTGACCTTGATTTGTTTCAGTTTTTATTAAATTGTAATTTATTTTATTTTGAAATGGGCCTACTTTTTATAGTTTTGTCCTAAATAAGAAAATAACTGAAATAATCATTGAAAAAAGGTAATTAATGCAAACTTCAAGACCTGGTGGCTGTCTGTATTTCATTTCTATTTTCAACACCGTCTGAAAGCACTACAGTCAACAGCTATCAAACCGAGCCTCCATCAATCACACACCCAGCCAATCACAGCACAGAAAAATAAACAGACAAGCAAGAACATGTGTCATTTACACCCACAGATTCACCAACAACAGACTGGACACCATCTCACGCCACAGTCCTGCCCTACACTACTGTTCCTGCGTCCGACACACGCTCGGCCAATCAGATGTCAACCAGCACCCAAAAGACTCCAATCACAACTCCGGTTGACCAAACCCCAGCTGGAAGAACATCTGGTTAGTCTGGATGTGTGTTGCATATGTGTATGGGTGTTTAATAAGAGACTCTGTATTATGTTACACATTTTAAGAATAAATACAACTAAAGCTGGTGTTGTTATGTTTTAATTGTCTTTTAAAAGCAGTTTCCTCTATTATTTTAGGGTCCTCATTAGTAAATTGTGACATCAGCCAACTCTGCTCCAATGACAGTAAGAAACATCCACTTTTTATCCAATTACCCTTTTATTTTGTCATATTTTATGGCCTTACAACTTGATTTATTTCTGCAGGTGCTTACTTTTGGATGACTATAAATGTGACTGCCAAGAGCATCAGTAAGACTGAACAAGATGTTCACAACTTGGTAAGAGTGACAATCTTTCTTCATCGTCTTTGTTTGGTCAACACTCCTTTGTGTCATGCCGCTAAAAGCTTTAAATGCCAACTCGTCACAAACAAGTCTTGCCGGCTCGGGATTATTTCTTTTTTGAGTAGCACATTCCAACCCTGTGATGCATCTGAGATTTATTTAGATTTGGACTGTCAACCATTGAGTGCAGTATAAACCTTGATGATGGGTCTACAATCTTAACTCACTGATCTTTTATTATCTGCTCTTCCCCCTTCATTCAAACTATGGATTATATCCAGGGGTGCACACAACTTTCTCAGTGAGGTCCTCAGATGAGTACCTGGAGTCAGTGTTTGGTACTCCAATTTATGACCATTGTTAACGGGGGGGGGGGGGGGGGCGTCAGTGGAGTACAGCGCTTCACGATTGTTAACGGGGGGGGGGGTGGCGTCAGTGGAGTACACCGCTTCGCGATTGTCAACGGGGGGGGTGGCGTCAGTAGAGTACAGAGCTTCGTGACCGCGGCGCGTGTGAACGCTGTTTTAGCGCAGGGCTGCTGTACAGACCGACGTTAACAGCAGCCCTGTCTGTGCACACGGAGACCGACTCTGTCGTCCGGTGAACTAACCGCCTTCTGGAAAAGCTTCACATTTACGTCGGTACGCAAATGCGCTTTGTGACACAAGTGACGGTACGCATTTCAGATTGTTGCCGCGCATGCGTACCTGCGTACCAGTTATGTGCACCCCTGATTATATCCTCTTCCATTTGTGTACCTTAGTGTTTTTCACTCTGTATGTCAGTACTTTCTTAACCTTAAGTTAATCTCATATGTTATAATGCTTTTGTCACCTATGTGTACCTAAACTGTATGTATTTGGATCCCATCATTTTGCACAGTATTATCATGTCTGTCTCTCCATCTTTCACTCAGGTGTCAAATGCATTCAGTTGCCCCACTAATAGAAGTGATACAGCACAGCGAGTAACAGACTTTATAGATTTCTGTCAAGGTGACAAATTCATTCAGGTCAGTCTTTCCCCAAACCAAGCAACACCCTTTCGCTTTCAGAATAAACAAAATGATACATGGCAGACATGATGTCTATAACTTATCTCTCTCTCTTTTCAGACAGTACAGGTAAACTGCAGTGCAAAAAGTGACATAAGGTAACAGCATGTCAGTATGTGTTCTGTATTTATTTCCAAATGTTATTTAGTTTGTATCTGATCACAGTGGTGTGTATGCGTTGTTTACAGACAAACAACCTGCGATGTGCTGCTGCAGCTCAGCCGCGCTGTTTCAGCATGTGAACTGCAGCGTGCTGGAGACTCTGCACTGCAGCAAGCTGCTGACACACAAATAGAAGTGAGAATCACAGGAGAGGTGGAGAGAGTCGGTGAGCATTTTTTAATTAGCACACACACACGCACACGCACACGCACACGCACACACACACACATTGCCCTCTAAGTATATACATGACAGGTTTCTCCAAATATGCTTTTTTCTTCAATTTGTTTGTGTATCTCAACTGGCAGTGTTTGTTTATGTTTTGGATACTTCATGCTTTTTTACATTTGGATTTTTGGTTGTCCCTTTAAATAACAAACAGACATACAGTATTAGGGGTTAACACATACATACACATTATTTAGCAAAAATGCTAAATGCAGTCTAGCTTTGATCACAGTCAATACAATGACACTGCAGGAGCTCACATAGTGTGTGTGTGTGTGTGTGTGTGTGTGTGTGTGTGTGTGTGTGTGTGTGTGTGTGTGTGTGTGTGTGTGTGTGTGTGTGTGTGTGTGTGTGTGTGTGTGTGTGTGTGTGTGTGTGTGTGTGTGTGTGTGTGCGTGCGTGCGTGGGTGCGTGCGTGCGTGATTGTATGTATGTATGTATGTTTGTGTGTCGTAAACTATCTCAAACTAAATCTAAATAGACAACAGAAAAACAAATGTGTTGCACTGTTCTTGTGAGGATTCTTATTGACATAATTAATTCCGCCTCCCAAGATGACATTTATAACATCATGCATTACCCCAATAACAACATTAATTTCCCACACACAGTTACTTATCTTCCCCCTTTTAATTTTGTTCACATCAGGTCGGGGTATTTGTGGGGATGTGGAGCCCTCGAGTGGCAGGTTTGTGAGGTGTACATCCACTTCTTCACTGGATGATATTTGTCAAGCTAACACAAACCCCAAGCTGACATGGTGAGTAAAGTATTCTGAATAAGCTTATTTGAACATGCATACCCTGTTTCTTATTAGTGTTTATTTTCTTAGTTCCTTCTTAGAACCCAACTCATACCAAGCTCTACAACCTGATAAAGAATTTGGCTGCAGTGAATATCACCGTATGTAACGCCGACACCCAATATAATGAAGTACAATTCACTTCTGCCACCGCTGCTGTAAACATATTCTCTCAACCTCAGGTGAAACGCCTAGCTTTTGTGACTGCACTGCTTTCTGCAATTCTTCAAGTAAGAACAACTGTTTGAATATTTTGTACTAAAATGTCTATGTTTTGTGTAAATACTGTACATGTGCCCAACCCCCCAATTACATAGCCTGTAATGTTATAAGGAAGTGTGTCCTTTGAATACATGGATGTTGTAAAAATAACAAACTACTGTATAGGTTTATATTCGGAAATGTTCATATTAGCATGAGAAGGTTCACTCACATATTTACAAGCTAAATATAAGGCTATAGCCGGCAACTAGTTGGCTGAGCTTAGTAATGTTATAAGTGTCTACTTTGAATATATAGGATTATAAAAAAAGTCTTTGTTAGGACACATACTGAAATCAGGTAGAAAGAGCTAACTTGGCTAAATAGTTTAATTAACAAACAAGATATAGGAAGTTAATTAGTGAAATGTAGTGCTGGTAGGTTTACCATTATTTATTTTTAGATCCATGAAGCTGTTTCCATCTTCTTCCATTCTTTGTGCTAAGCTAACCATATCCTGTCTGTAGCTTCTGTAGCTATAGCTGTAGGCTATACGTTATCATTGTCCTTCTTTCCCAAATTACTGAAATACTCCTTTAATTGAAAGGTAGGGTGTAAAACATATGTCCATAAAATGCCCCTGACATCTTCTCCTTTGTTTAATTTTCCTCTTTAGGACAGTTTTTTGCCATTAGAATAAATATTCACAGTGCCTCTGTTAATGTTAACCTCCTAAAAACATGGGTATGTACAGCAAAGTATAATTTACATAACTTCTTATTGAATTTACATGCTATGTACTGACTTTATTACCGTATTTAACAGTTGGCTGGACTTGCCCGCATGTGTCTGTCAATGTCAGCGTGAGTTTCTATTAATTTTCAATTACTTACAATTTATACATGTAGACCATGGAGAGAAATTAAACAGTTCACCTAAAGACTTCATGTGACAATTATTTGTTTCCAGGTCAGAGTGCCAAGATATTTTAGAGCGCTACCAGGTAAAGTTTTCTGCTGCTTGATACTTACTCAAAACCTTATAAAATCACATTGATCTCCTCACATTGAGGTTGCTGTTGATCATGCTTTCTGAATTATTACTTTATCCAGCAAGCTCATCTGGAATGCCACGGGACAGAACAGAGGTAAAGATTACTGCTGTTGTCAATGATGAATACAGACGGATAAAGTCAATGATGAATACAGACGGATAAAGACAATCATAACATTTCAATACAGAATGAGGCACCATTGATGTTTTTGAGGATCAATTCCGGGATCTGATGTTGGGAATGTTTTACGTCCTTTCTGCTGGTATTAGGTTGTACAGCTGCATGGTGATACTGGAGATGTCTGGACCTGTCAATGGTTGTTTCCTGAAAAAACTTCTGAAGGAAATTATTGACAGAAACAATGATATAACAAATGAAAAGCCACTTACACGCATGGGTTAGTCTACAAGTTTATCTCTTTTTCCTATTATATTAACATCTATTATATGTTATTGACCGTACTCTTTGTGTCCCCAGTGGTTTGTGGTCCTCCTGGTTTGGCAATCCGTACTCTGTTGGGGTCCAACCTGACCTGGGTTGAAAGTGACCTGCTGATGTCAGACGTCTGCCAACCTGACCCCACTCTGCTTAAATGGTAAATCTATCAAATATAGTTCATATAAATATATTCATGGTGGCTTTAGAAAATGTAAATTGAAATATTTGTTTGTTTTTTGGTTTATAGTTTTTCATTTTGGGTGAACATTCTATTGATCATTATAGTCGTCCTGTGAAATGTAGGAACTCACAAACAAAGGAAACTGTAAACTTATACTTATAAACTGTATAATAATATAGTCGGCGGTTAGATTACACTGTTCTCAGCATATCTTGTAGGTGTTAGTTGGCAAATCTAGTTGAGAGAAGTATCAATCTCTTCATCCAACTCTGAGAAAGAAAGCCTTATTTCCAAAATGTCAGACTTATTCAATGTTTCTCAATACAATTAGTGGAAAGTGTTTTTAAAGACAAAATATTAAATATTCTAATAATCTTGACATTGGCACCTGACAAGGCACTAGCCTATACAATAAAGTTCATTCAATGTATTTATAACATGTTTTGCAATGTTTTATTTTTGTAGTGAGGGAAAGGAGAGCCTTGCTGTACTTCTGACTGACAGCTGCCCTCTGGAAACCATGCAAAGCACAACTATGCCTTCCACTCCGAACAACAACATTCTCTCTACATCTTCTGAAGCTTTTACATCATCTGTGACCAACCCTACTAAACAAACTAACACTATTGTAACATCTCAACAGACAAATGCCTCACAAGGGACAGCTCATCCTAACATAATTATTTCCCTCACAACAAACAACAGAACACAGTCCTCAACAGAACAGCCCGTCCTAAGAACGACCTTACAAAACATGACTTTCAGTACAGCAGCACAAAAAAAAACACCAACTGACCAAACAAAACTGCAAAACACAACCACAGCAGACCAAGGCACAACAGAATTCATACCATTATCTTCTGTTAACTCAACATTACAATTCACCACAGCAGCCCCTATTGTTTCAACACTTTACACAGCTACATTGTCTCCAAATCAAACCACAGAGTTCAAACTAACAACAGTTGATACAGTTACAGCCACTGCTAATAACACAACAGTGTACAATGTAACTCCAACAAGCACATTTACACCTTCTACCAATTACACAACAATGTCCAATGTAACTACATTTACAACTTCTAACAATCACACAACAAAGTACAATGCAACTGTAGTTTTAGCCTTTGCCAATCACACAACAAAGTATAATGTTACAACAGTTACACCTTCTAAAAATCACACAACAGAGTACAGTGTTACAACAGTTAAACCTTCTACCAACCACTCAACAGATTACAATGCAATTACAGTTACTCCTTCTACCAACCACACAACAGAGTACAATGTAACTAGAGTTACTCCCTCTTACGATCACACAACAGATTACAATGAAACTATAGTAACACCTTCTACCAACCACTCAACAGATTACAATGCAATAACAGTTACAACTTCTGACAATCACACAACAGAGAACATTGTGACTACAGTTACTCCTGTTACCAACCACACAGAGAACAATGTGACTACCGTTACTCATTCAACAAACCACACATCAGTGTACAATGTAACTAAAGTTACTCCTTTGTCCAACCACACAACAGAATACAATGCTACTACATTTATACCTTCTACCAACCACTCAACAGATTACAATGCAATTACAGTTACAACTTCTAACAATCACACAAAAGAGTACAATGTAACTAGAGTTACTCCTTCTACCAACCACACAACAGAGTACAATGTAACTACAGTTACTCCTTCTACCAACCACACAACAGAGTACAATGTAACTAGAGTTACTCCATCTACAGATTACAATGCAACTACAGTTACTCCCTTTTACGATCACACAACAGATTACAATGAAACTATAGTAACACCTTCTACCAACCACTCAACAGATTACAATGCAATAACAGTTACACCTTCTGACAATCACACAACAGAGAACATTGTGACTACAGTTACTCCTGTTACCAACCACACAGAGAACAATGTGACTACCGTTACTCATTCAACAAACCACACAACAGAGAACAATGTGACTACAGTTACTCATTCTACAAACCACACATCAGTGTACAATGTAACTAAAGTTACTTCTTTGTCCAACCACACAACAGAATACAATGCTACTACATTTATACCTTCTACCAACCACTCAACAGATTACAATGCAATTACAGTTACAACTTCTAACAATCACACAAAAGAGTACAATGTAACTACAGTTACTCCTTCTACCAACCACACAACAGAGTACAATGTAACTAGAGTTACTCCATCTACAGATTACAATGCAACTACAGTTACTCCCTTATACGATCACACAACAGATTACAATGAAACTATAGTAACACCTTCTACCAACCACTCAACAGATTACAATGCAATAACAGTTACACCTTCTGACCATCACACAACAGAGAACATTGTGACTACAGTTGCTCCTGTTACCAACCACACAGAGAACAATGTGACTACCGTTACTCATTCAACAAACCACACAACAGAGAACAATGTGACTACAGTTACTCATTCTACAAACCACACATCAGTGTACAATGTAACTAAAGTTACTCCTTTGTCCAACCACACAACAGAATACAATGCTACTACATTTATACCTTCTACCAACCACTCAACAGATTACAATGCAATTACAGTTCCAACTTCTAACAATCACACAAAAGAGTCCAATGTAACTAGAGTTACTCCATCTACAGATTACAATGCAACTACAGTTACTCCCTCTTACGATCACACAACAGATTACAATGAAACTATAGTTACACCCTCTACCAACCACTCAACAGATTACAATGCAATTTCAGTTACAACTTCTAACAATCACACAACAAAGTACAATGTAACTACAGTTACTCATTCTACCAACCACACATTAGAGAACAATGCAACTACAGTTACTCCTTCTACCAACCACATAACAGATTACAATGAAACTGCAGTTAGTCTTTCTACCAACCACACAACAAAGTACAATGCAACTACAGTTACATCTACAATTAACCACACAACAGATTACAATGCAACTACATTTACAATTTATACCAATCCTACCACAGAGAACAATGTTACTAGAGTTACACCTTTTAACAATCACACAACAGAGCACAATGTATCTACAATTGGCAGCTACAGAAAAGACAACAGTACATTTACAACAAAGAACACAACATTTAGCACATTCACAGCCTCTCCCAACCACACTGTAGTGATTAATGTAACTGCAGCTACCAACAATCACACAACAGTCTCAAACAATTATACAAAACAGTATAACCTAACTACAGCTGATGCCAATTGGGACTTACACAATAGTACATTTACAACAAGTAATGCAACAATAAACACATTTACAGCATCTCCCAATTACACAACTGAAAAAAATGTAACTACAGTCTCTAACAATTACACAAAGAATATAACTACTACGACTGAATCTCAAAACAAAACAGCAACAGACAATGTAACCACTGCATCTATCATTGAAACACAACAGACCACAACTGCTCCCACTGCTCAACAACTTAATGTAACTCTCAATGGTGATATAACTTCGACAAAATACTCAACTGTGGACAATCTGATGTCTGTTGTTGACAACATAACTAAACCTACAGCAGATCCACTTAACAACCAGACTAAAAATCCCACCACATCTAGAGTTAGACCCTACACCACATCAACCAACAAAAATGATACCTTCACCACAGTGGCCAATGCTGTCAATACCATCATCAATCACAATCAAACTGCAGTAACAAGATTCAACCAGAGTACCACAGTAGGCAGTCCAACCAATTACTTTAACCTGACCACTAAAGAAGAAGTTCATTTGAAAACTACAAAGTCAACCACACCAACTAAGCATGGTACACATCCGTCCTGGAAAAACACTACTACTGCAAAGGTTTCCTTGACTTCCTCTACAACAACTTTCCAGATCAACACCCTCCCCATAAAAACCACAACGTTACCTGGTATGTATAGGTTAGACAACAGACTTTTGCTGGAAAAGCTTGCTGTTTAGAAAGCTGTTTAAAGTTCAAATGAGTTGTTGAGGAAGTAATCTATGAGGGCAATTGTTTTAGTAATACATTCATTACAACAATACATTTATTACTGGTGTAGTTCCTTAATCTGCCTGGATAGAATGATTTTCTGTGTAGCAGATAGGGAGGAATCCTCGATCAAACCCCAAAGTAGAAAACTGATTTATTTTATCAATACAATGGCCACTTTATAACTTGATGTACTGCGTGTGTTATGTCCATATCCATTGCAGAGACAACTACAAGTCAAGAGGCACAGGAGGAACTAGCAAACGAGCTGCTGAATCAAGCACAAAATGCCTCTCAGCTGAACTCTTCTCAGGTGAAGCTACTGTTCATTACAGTATGCAAGAAGAACATTTTTTTGCAAGAAAATGTGGAATCCTTAAGAGTTAACTTTATCATTTGATTGGGAATGCAGGTTGCACAGTTGGTTGGGAACTTGGAGAGGCTTCTGGATGGCTCCTCTGTCTCTAGGGCAGTGGGACAAAAGGTCATCAACGTTGTCAGCAACCTGATGGAGGGCAACTCAGTGGCCCTCTCTGCATCTGTGAACAGGTACTTATTTCACAACCATTAGCCATGTATTCATATACATTCGATTTTTTTCAAATAATTGTTTGTGTTTGTTTCTGTATACAGGCTGGTTCAAGTGGTAGAAGATGTAGGTCTTAAGTTGATTGTCCCTGGTGACAGAGAGATCCTTTCCTCGGGTTCAGTGGTTCTAGCAGTGAGGAGTATCGATGGGACCAACTTTCCACAAACATCTTTTAACATTTTCAACACTGATAATGTTCAGGTAGACAATATTTTAAATGTTGTCATCTGTATTCATCGTATTTCATAAGGCGCAAAGAATCCTATGCAGAATTACCTAAAAACTGCTCTCTTTCTAGTGGCCAGCACAGGTTGCAGAAATCCAATTGTATAGAATTCTCTAAAAAAATGAATCCACTTCTTCTAAAGCCAAAAGGCAACAGGGCAGCAAACATTCCTTTGACAAAATAATTATTATGCTATGATCTAAATTAATTTGGAATTTAATTGTTAGACAAAAGAAAAATAAGACAACATTTATGTAAAATTAATATTCATCATATGATCATTCTTTATTCTTCTTTTTTATTTGTATTGACATTTTTGTTAATTAAACCCCCAAAAATGTAGGCAAACACTTAGCCTTTCCTATCTTTGCTACACACATTTCTCAGACGAACGACAACTCCTGAACAATTGACATTTACTCTGTTGACAAAAGCAATTTAATTTTTTTCCAGTCAGAGAGAAAACTTGTACAAAACGACAGGGGCAAATGTCTCTAGATGCAAACACAGTGACAAAAAGTGATTTTAAAGTGATTTTTTAAACTTAAAACTGGAAGTGCCAAACTTTTATGTTAACAATTTATTAACAATTTGTGCAACCAGCTCCGTGCACTCAGCAGATCCAGGTCCAAAAGGTCAGGTTCTGCTCTTGGGTCTGTTTCTTTGCCCTCCTCCCTCACCGCGGGTCTCAGTCCTGAAGACCAGCAGCTGGCAAACAGGGTCCAGTTCACCTTTTACACCAAACCTTCCCTATTCCAGGTACTTATTCATCTCTTACAGAGTTTTTCTAAAAGATATTGAAGTATTTTCTAATGTTAATTTTATGATCTACAAGCAGATTTTCTTAATTAAGACTAATGTTTATTTTTTAGATAACACCATGCATGTTTTTGACAGTCATTTATCATATAACCTTCCTGTAAAAAGATTCTGGCTGTCTATCTTTTTTGTAGGATGATGCATTAAACAACCAAACCCTTGTCAGTCCAGTCCTGGCTGCCAGTGTGACTAATCTGTCAATCAGCAATTTGGCTGAGAACATTCAGTTTACTATCCGAAATGTCAACCCGATAGATGTGAGTGTGCACACAAATAATAGTAGTTATTTCATCCAAAAAAGTGTCCTGCATTAATCCAAATCCACAAGTAATTGCATTTTGATGTTCAGATAAACAAAAGTCTTTGAGTCAACTTAAATAATATAAACGTTTTTTTTAGAAATGATCTACAAATAAAACGTGTGTTTGTACTTTTAATTTGATTTGCAGGGAAACTACTCAGCCTCCTGTGCATTTTGGGACTTCACTCAGAATGGTGAGTGCAATCCATGCTAAATTGAGTTTGTTAAATTTCTAAAGGTATTGAAATCCCTGTTTGTTGTTTCTCGTGTTCAGGCGGAGGAGGCTGGAGCTCTGCTGGCTGCTTTGTTGTCAATAATACTTTGGAAGAAACAACCTGCAGCTGCAACCATCTAACTAGTTTTGCAATTCTGCTGGTTTGTATTTTTCCCTTTTTTTATTATGCTGGTTTATATTTGTTTGGTAGGTATGATCTAACTCTGTCTTGTATCAAATGGTTAAAGAGAGAAATTATTATGGTTACAGCCTGCTGTTGGGCTAAGTGTATTCAGTGTTTATTTATGTTGTGTACCCAAGGATTTGTCCAGAGAAGGAACTATTGATCGTCAGCAGGCACAAATTCTTACATTCATCACCTACATCGGCTGTGGAATCTCTGCCATTTTCCTCGCACTCACTTTACTGACTTATCTTTTATTTGAGTAAGAATCTGTCTTTACCATGTCTACTTTAATCCAAGATTTAATTATTTGGTTATAAAGCAAAAATAAAAAAGGATAAAGTCAATTTATTAGCCTGCAAGTATCCTAAAAATACTTTTCTACGCAGAAAACTGATGCGGGATATTCCTGCCAAGATCCTGGTTCAACTCTGCCTCTCCCTCCTCTTCCTCAACCTTGTCTTCTTGCTGGACGGCTGGCTGGCACTGTACCCAGCGGTTGGGCTGTGCATTAGCACTGCCTTCTTCCTGCACTACTTCCTGCTTACATCATTTACCTGGGCGGGGCTTGAGGCCCTGCACATGTACCTGAGCATCGTCCGAGTGTTCACTCCCTACCTCAGCAGATACATGCTTAAGTTCTCACTGATAGGCTGGGGTGGGTAAAATGAACCTCCAAAATGTCAACATGTTTACAAATATGCAATACAGTATATTTATTTGAATGTTTTCAAAAAAATCTGTATTATAACTACGGAGCCCTGGAGGGTTCTAGAGAGAAAAATAAATAAAACGAGGCCACGCTTTATTAACTTGTGCGCACGAGATGTAATTCGTGGCCTCAATTTAAATAAAACGAGGCCACGCTTTATTAATTTGTGCGCACAATATACTTTCTCGTTCGCACGAGATACTTTCTCGTTCGCACGAGATACTTTCTTATGGTAAAACACATCGAACTGCCCGATTATTACGCCATATTATTAGTTTTATGAAGAATATGTCGTGTGTGTGTGTGTGTGTGTGTGTGTGTGTGTGTGTGTGTGTGTGTGTGTGTGTGTGTGTGTGTGTGTGTGTGTGTGTGTGTGTGTGTGTGTGTGTGTGTGTGTGTGTGTGTGTGCGCGTGCGTGTGTGTGCATTTGTTTATGATTATGTTGTTCGTTCCGGTGCACACCGGCAGGACTATAGCACTACATCGAGATTAAGACCCCATTCACACGGGAACGAAACGGGTTGTATCCGCATAGTTTCTCTTGCGTATAGCCCTTTCATTTACACGAGGCCATAACAAAACGATAGAAATGGACCCTGCAAACGATAACGGGTCCCAAGGTGGATAGATCTGCAAACGGAATGCTCTGGGGGGTCCAACGGCTCCGTGTAATCGCCTCTATACGATCATTTCCCGATAGATGAAGCCATAGCCCCGCCTCTCCTCACCTCTGCTGCTCACTGCTGTAGCATGGTCAGTAGCTACTGTCTGCTAGTGCTACTGCTACTGACCATGCTACAGATGTTAGTACAACATCTACAGCTCGACCATGCTACAGATGTTAGTGCAAAATCTACAGCTCATCTACCACCACCATCAGCAACAAGTGGACATGGAGAATTACATGAACAGAAGGGCAACCATGGCAACCATGCTCCGGGATCTTCTTTGCTACTTTTGGTGTATTTTGTGGCGGAAGCAGCGCCACTTACAGGCCTGGCATATGTACTACAGCGTTTCCAGCGGGTCGAGCGGTCTCGTGTGAACAGACACGTTAAATGAATCGAATGCGTGTGAACGGAAGACTTATTTGAAAACGCATATGGTGCGTAAACGCAAACGTTCCCGTGTAGAGGCAGCCTAAGATTAAACGAATTTCTTTCACTTGGGAATACACATATAACTATGGAGAACCAGATTTGTGTAAATTACTGTTCGTGGTCATTTGAAAACAAATGCCGGTGGTGTCGGACACACACAAACACACTGAAGACACAAACACACGGAGCTGAGCACAAACACATACACATCATGCGCCCTGGTGACCGGACATCTCCTTCATAAAACGAGTAGGCTAATAGGGGGAATACTCTGGTAGTTCGATGTGTGTAGAGGTGTGTGTGGTTAAACGTAGCAGCCTGGATCTCTATTCAGCTGTTCGAATGAAGGGAAACACAGTGAAGTAAACAGTAAAAGGCACAGCTCTTTGCAGCTGGTGCTGCTCTTCTCAGATTCTGCTGAGTTACACGTTACTGCCTCCAGTGCCCTGTACGACAAAGCCAGTTCAACAGACCCTGGATATGTTTGATTTACCCAGCTTAACTAACCCTAACAAACGCGATCTCGCTAAATGGTCCTACGAAGCTGGTTATCAACTCGTGAAACGTGAAAGGGACGGGGTTAGCAACATTTGACCAATCACAAACATGGAGAAGCGTGCTGACAGCGCAGCGTCATACTTCATGAATGAATAGTAAATAGCAAATCCTGCTTCGTAGTACAGGCCACTGGTGCCGCAGAGATTTCATAAAGTGAAGGAGGTTTTCCTTCTATAAAACAGCTGTGGGCAGCAGATACTGTGAGAGTCACGGACAGGAATTCATAGATCAAAGCAGACTGGTTTACAGACTCTTCTGTTTTGCGAATCCGGTGCTTAAACAAATAGCTCTAAACCCTTGGCCAAAATGTCCCTAAATGAAGTCCGAGTTTGAAATATATCTCAAATAATATATGCACTGCCATTTCTGCCAACAGTCTGCAATGAAACGGTTGTCTCCTCTGTGCTCCACTTCCTACTTGGCGCACCGGTAACTTTCTCGTGCGAACGAGAAACTAACAAAATACTTTCTCGTTCGCACAAAATATTATCTTGTGCGCACAAAATACTTTTTTTTTCTCTCCATGAACCTTTAGGGGCTCCGTATATAACAATTCTAGTATCTATCATTTTTTTCCATCATTTTTTGGGACATACTGAAATTGTTCTACTGATTTAAAATCTGGTCTTTGCAGGCATCCCTCTTCTTGTGGTGATTGTTGTAATATCAGTGGACAAAGACAACTATGGTGTGGTCACATATGGAAAATACACAGATGGCACTTCAGACGACTTGTAAGTTATGCCTAAATCTCTCAGCTTTTTTGAACACATTTTCAAAAAGATTTCTTTTCTTTTGTTGATTGTTTTTCCAATAAACCCTAAATTGAGCCAGCAGTCCAAGACTGTTTCTGTGTTCTAGCTGAATGTGTTTTAGTTTTAAACACATGTGCAAATATATTACAAATGTATAATGGTATTGCTTTATTTTGATGAAAGTAATTTTCTTTATAAATAGAAAACATAAATTAAGGAACATTATTTAAATGAAAAAATAGTCCATTGTCGTTCTGTTGTGATGTGTTTACTGTACTCTAATTGTATTATTAGGCTAAAACATTTAAATTAAATGTCTTCAAGCTTCAAGTATTCGGGTTAAAATATCTACTATGAAAAAGCTTAATTAGGCTCCTTCTCTGAGCAGGTTCCTTTCTCCAAATTCAGAAATCAGAATTTTCAACCCAAGCAGAAAATAAGATAATCTAACAACTGTTTTTCTCTGTCACGATAATCTGCCATTTACAAATATATCTATCTTGTGCAATCACTGTATCATGTGTGATTATATTTATGTACAGTACAGTTCTACAAACAAGCAATTACAGTTCTACAAACAAGCAATTAGTGAAATGTAGTCTTGAGTCCTTGAGCATCTGTAACATTTACACTGAGGGATCCAAAGTTTGATTTGATTTTAAGCGACCCCCCTGCAATATAGTATCACAATAAACACCATAGCACCCATTAATGCCTAATGCAAAAAATGTGCATTATTTGTTTCGTTGTGGCATTCTTGTAACACCATAATAGGCATATAACATAGAACCCTACCTGGCACATAATGAACATTTTCTTTTAAAATGTTAGCCTTTTTGTAGTTAACTATAGACTTAACTTTTCCTTGTTTTTAATGTTTTACCCTGTAGCTGTTGGCTGCGTAATGACATCGCCTTCTATGTGGGAGTGGTAGCCTACTTCCTCCTGATCTTTGCTCTGTGCCTGCTGGTCTTCATTATTGTTATGGTCCAGCTGTCCCGGATCAAGAAGCAGAACCCCCAGAACCAGCCTCCAAACAGGGGGGTGATGACAGATCTGCGCAGCATTGCTGGTCTAATCGTGCTGCTCGGCCTCACCTGGGGGTTTGCTCTGTTTGCCTGGGGACCCCTTTACTTACCCTTTGTTTACCTTTTCACCATATTCAACTCTCTGCAAGGTGAGACTTGTATTTATGTGCTTTTTATGATCAACTCATATAAGTTTATGATTTGATTTGCAAATGTATCCCATTATTTTCTATATCATTTGTTCTGTACAGGATTTCTTGTCTTTATTTTCCACTGTGCTGTGAAGGAGAATGTCCGTAGGCAGTGGAGAACATATCTTTGCTGTGGGAAACTGCGTTTGGCTGAGAATTCAGGTAAGCACCTACTGTAAATGTGTTTTGATACTATAGTATAATTTGACTGAAGAGATTAGAAAAAAAATTCAGACTTTCAGGACATCATTATATGAGCAGTACTTTGTAAAACTATAATAACATTTAATTATGAACCAGTAAAAAGGCACTACTTTTTCTATCTTCTTCTTCTATTTAGCAAATACAAGTAAGCTACAAGAAAATACTTAGTCATACAAGTAAAATAAATGTTTTTAAGTTGATAAAATTGACATTATTTGATTCTGACAATGGCCAATAAAAAAGAAAATACATTTTAAAAGCATTTTAAAACTTATATAAGCTTGGTCATATTTACTTTTTGCCAGACTGGAGTCGGACAGCCACCCAGAACAGGAGGAATCTTTCGGTTGCCACAGCAACCACCTCAGCTCCCCACTTAACCTCTCGAAGCTCTTCCGTCATCAGTGATAGCACCAATAGCAATGGTAAGTTCACAGGTCGCAATGGCAGACCTGATTTTTTATAATCTTTTATACTATATGCCAGCATATTATTAAAATATACTATGTGTTGCTTTCCCACAGGGTCTGTGTTTGCGGACAGCGGAATATCTGACAGCTCCAACAGCGACGCCATCCTCAACGAGATTCACAGACTAAATATTTCACTGTAAGGAGAGACCTGACAAATGTGTCAAGCATCCATTTGTGATTCAAATATTTATTTTCTTTGAGAGAACCACGGATGCGGACTGTGATAATTCTCCTGCAGCGTAAGAGTAAGAGTAAACAAAAAGAAAACTAATCACAGGAGTGGTTGCTCACAGAAATACCCAATATTCCGGTTTTACAGGTGTAATGAAGGACAGAAGAAGTGGGACTGAAGAACTTTCGCGAGGAGTATGATTATTTCTTTTTTCTACATCAAGAGTAGAATATATGAAGTGTACAGTAGCTGTGCTTCTGACTGAATAAAATCATTATTTCACTGTAACAGCCAACTTAGTCTGCACACCGTAGCTTGTTCTAAGCTCTTATTACTGTTTGCATAAAGCAGATTATATCAATACCTTTTACCATCTTTGTAATATTTACATTTAAACACACATGAATCATAGGCTGAAATGGAATAGGAAATTCAAAATCCAAAATGTATTTTTTTACTTTTCAGCCATTATTAAAGAAAGGAGTCTAATCACCCAAAAATGTCATTTATATGTACAAGAGACTGTTCTTTTTTCATGAAAATTATATTTTTTGGTTTTTGCTAACCAGTATGCAACAACAGCCGGCAAAATGGGGCCCAACGGATGTGCATGTGTTAAGGGAAGGACATGAACCATAGATTAAGAGATCAAAAAATATAATATAAGTATATATTATATGTAACAATAATATTGACTGTTATCAATATTTGGATAATATCAAACTTTGACCTTCTAAATACATTGTTTCTTTATATTTGACATGATCTTTGAATTACACAGTAGATCCTATAATAATTTCACATGATTTAAATGAAAATGTTCAGTGATTAGATTTGATATATGAAATATTAATCATAAATGCATGATCAATTATATACGGTATATATAAATACACTAGTGTCTTTTGTATTTGTATATGCTTTATATAGCCTTTTGTTGTTGCATTCTAATCACTGATGTGAAGATGACATATATCCTTCTATTTATTATTCCAGTTATTTTTAATTTACCTATAGATTTTCCATAGGATTCATAAACAGACTGATATTCTTCACATCATCCTATGTCTCTGTAAAGAAACAGCAGGAATGAATCAGTCCCGCCCCCACTTTGCTCTCCTGGCCTGATTTGGCGTTACAGCTGGAGCGATTGCCCATTGGTCTCCATTTATACTTTTCACAGAGACATCAGGAGTTTAACAGCCGAATCTTTGATCAATTTACCGAGCTTCTGTACACTCCAACACTAAATAAACAACATGCATTGCCTCATTTCCATCTGTAGACTACAAAGTTTAAGCTGGAGCTAGACAGATCAGTCTGATGTACTGAAAGTGGACTGGGTTATAGAGGGGACTTATATATAAAACATAATCAAAACTTGAATAATCATCAGGCCCAGCATGCTCAGTCCCTTCTCAGTACCGCAGGTACATCTTCTCTTCATTATATTAAAAACTTGATTGAAATCTCAAACATCTTCCACCAGATGTCAGTGTTAACCAACGCTTTTGTTAATTCCAACACAGCAACTATTTTTCAGAAAACTGATCAGGGAACCTTTTTAACAGGAAAAACTTGTAGCTTATAATCGTATTTCTTCTTATTTAACAGGTCACTGCTGCCTCAAAACAATCACCAACATTTTTAAATACCTTGATCCTATCAGATTCACAGTTTTTGAGATGCAGATTAAATGTATGTCTGGCTCACTTAACTAACTTTCTTGCAGATTTTGCAACCTCCACGAACACCATTTTATTTAGATTTTATTTAAATTTGATGTTTATGCATCCCTGCAGGTGGCCCATCATTTTACAACCTCACTATAATGACGAAAGTGTTGGGAGGGTGAAGGGCGGAAGAATTACACATATATTTTGGGATTTAAGATCACAGATTTAAGATCTTGTGTGCTGCTGAAATATATTGATCATTAGCACTTCAGCAGCTGTTTGCTGTTGAGCTGTAGCTTCTTCAGGGATGCAAACTCATCAGGTATGAAAAAGGTGACAAGGATCCGAGCCCCCCGACCCCATGGAATATCGGCTTTAAAATGAGGAATAACAGAGGATTTTAGCAGTCAGAACAACTAAAGCAGTTAATAATAACAGAAACGCCAAAGAGTCACATCTAATAGAAATGTATAAAAGCATTTATTTGAATTGTGTAGCAGTCAGTTTATAATTTTGGCAGCACTGTTGAGCATTTTGAAAATGTATTTTCATGCCTCTGTGCAAGGCTTAGTCTTTCTATCTGTATAGCCAGTGGTGTAAAGTAACTAAGTTCATAAACTCAACAAGTACTATACTTGGGTACAATTTTGAGATACTTGTACTTTATTTAAGTATTTCAATGTGTTGCTACTTTGTTCTTCTACTCCACTACAGTTCAGAGGTAAATGGTGTACTTCTACTCCACTACATGTATTTAATAGCTTTAGTTACTTTACAGATGTGGATGAATGATGTGAAATATAATCAAGTGTTAAATCAGACTTTAGTTCCACCTGGAGTAAATTCACAAGCTACCCTGCAGTATACAAAGTCATTCAAACTAGCTGCACCTTTACCAGCTTTGAGAACACTTTCATGTGTTCAATCAATCATTATAAAACATATCATATATATTATTCTGAAATGGACCAATCTGCACAACGACTACTTTTACTGTTGCTACTTTAACTATATTTTGATGAGAATACTTTTCTACTTTTACTTGAGGAACATTTTGAATGCAGGACTTCTATTTCTACTTTTACTCAAGTACAAGACCTGAGTACTTCTACTTTTACTCAAGTACAAGACCTGAGTACTTCTACTTTTACTCAAGTACAAGATCTGAGTACTTCTACTTTTACGAACAAGACCTGAGTACTTCTACTTTTACTCTAGTACAAGATCTGAGTACTTCTACTTTTACTCTAGTACAAGATCTGAGTGCTTCTACTTTTATTCAAGTACAAGATATATACTTATACCACCTCCGTTTATAGCCTATGAAAAAAACTATTTGAAAACGAAGGCTAAAGCTAACGTTAGCAGATAGTGACAATGTATGCTAGTTAGCTAGCTCAACGATAATATTGCGACAGGAACACTTTTCAGTGCACATCACGCTCTGCCGCTCCGACAGGGAGCTCTGATCTGAACACCTGAACGGCCCATTCTAACAGCTGTTCACCAGCGGTCCAGTCTGTGCCACAGTGACTCCGGACCGCAGAGTTAATATTAACGAACGCACCCGTAGGTAATGTAGCTGCTGAAGCTAGACCCTCATCGCGGAGCAGCAGAGCCTTATTATACATCCATGAGCAGAGCCGACAGGCAGGAAGACTTGAGCACACAGCTCGCGCTTCATTATAATATATAAAAAAAGAACACCATGCGTGTCATGATGGCACATAACAGCTCGCGGCCGCAGATTACTCCGGGTCCCAGACCCCCCCATACCCCAAAAATATTTTTATTGCATATCTACATGAATCACACAAACTACCTATTTTGGATTCAAAATGGCGAATTTCGCCGAAAGGTGACAAGTTTGCATCCCTGTTCTTATCATATATCTTCTCTATCTTCCCCACTCTGATTTCCCAACTGGTCTGAAGTTTCGAACCTCACAAAACGTTTAAGGTGAATATAGTAAGAGCAAAATTGCAATCTGAGGATACAGAAAGACATTCTTGCATGCACTTTACCTAAAATGCTGAGGGTAGATCGTTACATCAGATTTTTAAAGTGTGCTGTTAGTTCTGTTTCAGCACTTTACTTTTAGTGAACTCACATTACTAATTCTGAGATATTGCCAGCTGTGGGCCTGAGATTGTAAAATATCTCACTGTTCATAGCTATAAACACACTGAGACATGAAGATATTGGATCTATTTATTTCCCCAAATAATCTTAAACATTTTGATGGAGGACTTTGTGGTAAAATGTATGGCAGCTAACTTAGTCAATATATGATATATTACTACACTTCTTTGTTATTGAAAACTCACCAGACGTGGTTCTAGTAAGTAGTGGTAGTAGTTAATGATAAGTGGCCCTATCAGGGTGTTAAATAAAGATCAAAAGTGTTTCTTTATTACTCCCTTTGCAAACCTTGGGGCCACAGATAAGTAAAACACAAGGAATCTAAGCTCAGGCAAAACAGCTTTTATTCCTGTCCCTCCTCTGTGCCCATAAATACTTTTTTATAGATGTAAATGTTCTAAAAATATCAACGCCTGCACAGTTCTTTCTTTGTGAAGTAATCAGTGCAGTTCCATCCCGACCACTTTTGAAGCTGTAAACTGTAATGCAGCCTACATGAATAGCGGCATTTTATTTGAAACCAAAAATAATTGCTTATCATGAGCACTCCTTGGCTCAGCAGAAATAAAAGTGTCCTCTGGGAAACATCGGATCAATGAGGCAAACCTTTCATCAGATTTTGATTGAAAGGAGTCACTGAATCAGCAAGATTTTTATTGTTCGGCAAATTGGGAATTTGAGGTAATTTTTATGTGAGATTGTTGTCCTCCAGCTATTAAAGGCCTTTTACGTTTGTGGATATTTAATGTGTGTTCACATTAGTTGGGCTGTGTTGAAGGTTTGTTTAGTTGCACAGCTCTGTTATAAGAAAACAAGAGCTTGTAAACTGTGGCACATGAACTAGCTATTTTATTGAGTAGAGTAGAGAGTAGAGTTTGGGGAATGTGTACGTCATGTGTGGCCTACAAGGGGTCATAGACTGTTTTGTGATGATCCCTCCTCTACACTAGGGGTACCTCTCCTTTTTGTGTTACAGGTGCTGAATAGAAGGTTGTTTGCAGCATGAACTACACCACCTGTTATGCTCTGACCATTTTTTCCTTTTAAAACCTGTCTTGTCTCCCATCTTTTTTGCAAACTTTGAACCAGACTGGAAGAGTGCTAGTCCTTAATGGTTTGGCTTGGTTCAGATACAGTGCCTTACGAAAGTATTAACCCCCTTGGCATTTATCCTATTTTGTTTCATTTAAACCACTAAATTAAATCAACCCACAACCACATTGGTTAAGTAAAAAAAAAGCACCATGAAGACTAAGAAGCTCTCAGAACAGTTTGGTACAAAGCTATGGGGAAGAATAGGTCAGGGTTGGGTTATAAACATTTTTTCCCAAACTTAAAGGGGACCTATCATGCAAAATGCACTTTTGTACGTCTTTTATACATGAATATGTGTCCCCGGTGTTCCAGGGAACTCACCAAGTGTCAGAAAACACAACCCTCTCTATTTTCCTCCATACCCAAATCTCTAAAAAAGGGGCTGCAACGGATCTGATAAAAACTGATCCAGATTTGAACACTGTCCTGACGTCAGGACAGTGGCTCTACGGCTATTGGGCCAACTCCACCAATCAGGAGGAGACAGCCACGGCCATTGCCGTTCGAAAGCGCTGGAGACGCTGTAGTACATATGCCAGGCCAGTAGATGGTGCTGTTCTCACTGAATCTGCCCTTGCAGAGCAGAGCTAAAAAAA